CATTTTAAGATTGCATTTTATTTAACATCAAAATCAAAATAATTTATTTATGGACTTAGGAAACATACATTTCATCTATCGATAGTATTTTTTTTTAATCTACCACCGTTTCATCATGAGCTTCCTCTAACGGAGAAGAAACAGGCGAAAGAAACTCCGCAGGTATCCTGTTATTCGTAATTTTTTTCTTAAAAAATTAAAATATACAACTGTTTTTTTTTCTTTCTTTTAGAAATAGCTTGGATCGACTCATTACCAGTGTGTGACATTCATTTCATATTCTAATAATTCTTTGTTCTGTGTACTCGTATAAAAAAAGTACCTGGAGGACCGAGCTTTGTTCGTTTTTTTTTTGGTAAATAATGTATTTTGAAAATAAAAAAAAAAGAAAGCAATGCTGATCATTGAATAGAATAGTATAGAAAAAAAAGTAAAAAAAATAAGTGTGTGATCGTGATACGAACCGCGGCTCGCTTGTAAAAGTTGCAAATAGTACAAAATAAGTTCATCCGCCGCGTCAACCGTTGCGCAGTGGTATCAACGCAACGTCGACCTGCACAGCGATTGCAGACTTCCGACGATTCGCGAATATTTTAAAGAGCTGACCAAACGGTTCTTCGATAGAGCCGAACATCATCCCAACCCTCTGGTGGTAAGCGCTGCAAATTACCAACAACCGCGAACGTCATCAAGCGTCGCTCGCGAAACCTCCTCATCGACCCGAGCGACGAAGAGGACTTAGAAACGATGGACCCACCGCCGGGGGTCCCGCCGGATAACACTACACCCACAGTTAGTGCAACAACAAACACACTAGTTCGCCCTCGCCTCCGAGCACGGCGAGACCAACACAACGCGTACACAAGGTACACCTGCGTTCCGGGGCGGTTCTCACCGCTCCCAGCCACCGATTAGCTAAATGCACAGTCGACGGCCATCGGGGTTTCGGTTCGAACCGCGACCTCGATGGCCCTTAGATGACACACCATAGTTAAACGCACGCATGAGCACATGCGCGGCCCTATCCACAGCGGAGGGCCCAAACCCGTGGGTTCTGGCTAGCCCACCGGTTCTGCGTCAGATGAAGCTTTAATAGTCTCGGGACTGAAAGTAAAAACATCAGTTAATACAAGATACAAGAAGGAGCTCATGCTTCGAGGGCAAATCAATTATGATAAATTTAATTTAATTGTTTACTTCCGCCCTACCTGTAATCAATGCTGCCCTACCTCAAATTCAACTCTAGCTACAGCCCTGCTCCGCTGTCACCGGGCTGTATCTCATGAACCGTGACTGACATTTGAAATTTTCACAGATGATGTATTTCTGTTGGCGTTGCCGCTATAACAAGAAATACTAAAAAACAGAATAAAATAAAGCATATTTAAGGGGGTTCCTGTACAACAAACGCGGTTGCTAGGCAACCTATAGGTTCTCTAACGTTAAACAGTTTGGTACACATGTTTCCATTGAAATAATCTAAAGGTAAGATCCTAATCGATACGCGCGTCTCGGTGTTGTGTGTAAAGTAAAATCTTAAAAAGTTATTCACATGTAAAATGGATTTTAGAAACTCTTGCGACATAAGATCAAGATATAATAGTATAAAATAAAATTGATAATCGCTGAAAAAATAAACTTGCTAAACTTATCGATTGCGTAGAGCCCTGAATTACATATAGCGTTATTTATCTCACTTTAACTATGATTTGTTACATAAATAGTAGGATGATTTTCAGGTAAATAATTCTTTTTAAGCAGTGTAGTGAAAAAAGTCCCGCGTTATTCAGTTAATGTATATTATAAAATATCCGGTTGTCAAAGCGAATAATATATACATCTGTCATCGATGCAAATCGTCATTAGCGCATAATAAACAAAAATAATTATACAATTATATAACTGACAATATATTACATAGGAAACACATTTTCACATATGTTATTAAGTATATTATTGATAACTTAAAAATAATATTCCAAGAATTCTTTTGAATGCCAATGTTCAGAAATATAGAAGTACTAGCTGCTGCCTGCGTCTACGTCCGCGTAGAATAGACTGAAGGCGTAACATTCAGACAGAAAGACATATATACACAAAAATATGTATATGAATTATAGCCTATGTCTTATTCTGATGTAAAAGCTATATTATTGTAAAGTTGCCATTCAGTATTTGGGTGAAAGAGTAACAAACATCCCTCCATACATACAATTTCGCCTTTATAATATTAGTAAGAATTTACGATTGTCTTTACAATAATTCTTCGTAAACCCGTGTACAAACAATTTTTAATGTTTCTTGGAAAATGATTAACTGAACTGTAGAAGTATATTACGCTTTGTTGCGGAGGCGTTTTACGAACCATTGTTATCCACTCATCCACGTCCATACAGCGAATTAAGTCATTTACCGTGTATTGGAAAATAAAACATTATTGGGGCTGGCATCGAGGTTTGAAGTGAATTACCCAATATCTAATGATTTTTTTATGTTTACGCGAGTGCCGTATATGGAACTATTTTATGTCTTGATTTAAAATCCCGACGCTTTAACGCTGTGAAGTATTCGAAATTTAAAATCAAAATAAGACTCGATAAAATCCGTAAAATATTTCTTTTAAAACCGATATTTGTTGAAACAGTTGCCATTGTTTAAACTCGTATTTGTGTACAACTTATCTGATCGCTTGTTAGTTTTATTCAAGAATTTTCCATGAAGGAACTGAAGCCGATTTCGTCGTTCCCTTTCCTTAGTAAGAGAAATAATTGTTTTGGGATAAAATAACTTTAAGATTGCTCGATCGATCATCGAAATGCAGAAACAATCCCGCATTGGATTATACTTCGATACGATGTGCACTCGAGTCATGAATATGACCCTTTTAAAATAATCCATCGCATCAAACTGATGTATCTACGAAGATAAGATAATTCTACATAAAATGTTCCAACCGGCTTATTTAAACTATAACAAGTGTACACACCGAATCTGATAGACATGTACCAATGATGTTTTCAAAATCGTTTAAAAATTGTTACGCTTTACATTATATGACATTTATAATTTAATGCGACAGATGATATAGAACTTATGATACGGAAAGAGATAGCAGTCTATACAGTTGCGATGTAATTACACCAATTGGTGCAATTTGTGTGCCTCAGTTTCGGTGCGCTAGTGTTAGATCACATCATTGGACATGCACATAAAAATATAATCTCTAAAAAAATTGTGTGTACTTATGAACCCACGTAAGAAGTTATACTTCATGAGCGTAGACATTTAATGTAATTCAGTACCCGGAGGACCTTAACTTTTTTTTGAAGTGAAACTTCTTTATCGGGGTTGGAAAAAAATTTAGTGTAACATTTTTGCGTTACGCGCCATCTTGTTTTTGTGGTTTTAATAGTTGACGCTAGATGGCGTTAGTTCCTTTGTGTGTTCATAACAATATATATATATATATATGTTATATGAAAGTGATCAGCTAAATCAAAGGGTTTATTTTAATTCTAATTCTAAAATGTAAACAATATATTTCGTATTTCAGTTACCATAAGCCATTAATAACACAAATATATAATAACGACATCAATGATAGTAATAATTCTATTACAATTAATGAAATTCAATAATAATATTTGACAGATAGTGCTAGCTCTAATACTTCAGAGCACGACACTGTAGAGACTACCTCTTCTCCAAAGGCAGGCACCGCCCACCGTGACCTGACTGCGCCTTCCACCGAAGACACTTGCGGACCCTCATACTAATTACAACGGTCAAACCATAGTGTGTTTTAATTTTACTACTAACGCCACCTATGTATTACAAATAAGAAACTAAATATTATACAAAGCTAAAATAAAATAATTGTAGAATTTGTATTTATGTCTATGATAATAAAAGCCTTTTATTAAACTTTATCTAATTTAACTTTATTTAACCAATTTCTGTAAAGTTGCATATAGTAAATTATTTTTTGAAAAATAACGTCATAAAAAAGTTTCACTTCTTACGAGTGTACGCTAGTACACGCACACATTTTTTTTTGGTAAATCGTGTATTTTGGATATTAAATTTAGATACAAATTACTGAGTAATCTTACCGAGGTAATAATAAGAAAATATGAACTGATGTTTTACACAAAAGAAAGAACTTTAAAAAAAAAGGGAAAAAAATTACAAATCGACAAAAAATTAAAAATAAAGAAAGCAATGATCTGGTATCGAAAAAAAGTAAAAAAAAATAAATGTGTCAATGATCGTGACGCGAACCACAGCCGTCTGTTTTGGGGCCGCCCGATTACCGACCGAGCTATTTTGACAATTTCTCTTGCGGCGAAATTTACTGTCATATTCGAATTATATTTTTCATTCCCTGAAAACAGGGATAAAAGGACATTTTCTAAAAATGAAACCTAGCTAGATCGATTTTTCGACTCCGAATCTATGCACATACTAAATTTCATGAAAATCGCTGGAGCCGTTTCCGAGATTCCGATTATATATATATATATATAATCGGAACGAGCAATTCTTGTATATATATATATATATATATACAAGAATTGCTGAATAATTCAATACTTTTAAATAATACTTCAATAATAATGTAATTTGTTGGATCTAGTTATCTTAGCATTATAATTGTGGCTACAATCTGCCGCAATAATAAAATAAATATTGCCCCATACTTTTTATTACATTGACTTTGTTATAATCTTGAAGAAAATTCACAAATACTTACAAGACGCCAAAACCTGTCTTCAAGTTTTAACAAAATTAGAAAGCCCGAGTGAGGATAGGCGTCAAACTTAGGTTGCTCGAGTATATTGAACCAAAGAGCTATCTCGGTTATTATTATTTATAACAGAATGTTTCTTAGTTACTAAGGTATTGCAATCATTATCATTGTAAATTTTATACAATATCACGTTTAACACTTTCAGAGTTAGTGGAATGTATTGAAATGAAATTACAAGAAGTATACTCACCACGGGAGACCATCCCGAACCAGAATAGTGCACCTGTTCGCCGCGCACACCCTGTACTCGGGGCTGGCTAGGTCCGCATATATCGGCGTCCAATATGCCCACCTATTACAATACACTGTATAAATTTTACCAATTTTTTTTTAACTAAATAAATATCGCGAACATGCCCACCGATAAGTTATTAAAAAAATGTTATGACATGTTAAAAAACGTATTCGACAAGGTTGCGCTATTGAATAATTCATTGTTGAAGAGATATAAAAGGTTCGAAAAGCACGTGGCCTTATCCAAAGAGCTCTTAGCCTTTTCTAAAAGTAACTAAAAGCTTTCCCGCCAAAATCTGACATTAGGATTTTCAATAAAACTTTCGAATAGTCTTATTTGTCATTTTATAATTAATTGTTCTTAATAATGGCGATGCTTAGCGATAGGATATTTTGCTATATAACGAAATAAACCTTTACGTGACCTATATCTTTTTGTATAAACATGGATGCTTGTACCACTCCGTGCCAACGTAGGCCGCGACGTAATGTTGCGAAACTACAGCCTTCGAAGGCTGGTAATCGATACGCGCGTCTCGGTGTTGAGTGAAAAACAAAATCTTTTAAAAAGTTATTTACATGTAAAATGGAATTTGGAAACTCTTATGAGAGAAGATCAAGATATAACAGGGTAAAATCTAATTGATTATCACTACATAAATAAACTTGCTAAACTTATGATTTCATAGAGCACTGAGCATTATTTATAATTATTTTTGTTCATCATACTTACTATTTTTCCAAAATCAAAGTTGAACTCTACTGATTTGACACCTTCTCATGTTCAAGATATATATGTAAGATGACAAGATCATTGGTTTTGTTTAAATTAATCTTCATTATTATTTTGATAACTGTCTGTGGACTTGATCTCTCCATTATTTTCTTTCTTTTAAATTGGCTTTTCGGTTTTCATGCCAGTGTATCAAATATAGCAGTTGTTCACAAAACACTATGGCTCGCAGTACAGATAATAAACATCTTTATAATGTTTATGTAATATTATGACCACAAAAGTCAGGATTACATAAAATTATTAAACAAATGATTATATGATTTATCATTTAAATTTTTTGATAAAAGTGAATCACAATGATAATAAAATTTTAATATGAATCCAATAGACAAACAATAGTGCTTTGTGCAAAGTTGAATAGTTATATTTTTTGCAAATTCATAGTGTCTGATAAGAAGCAGTCAGTGTGCAACATCAGGGACTGTTTGAAAATAACAAATAATTTTGAGAAATATGAGTGATAATTACAATGATTTTATTTAATGTGAGAAGATGGAAAGCGAGCTGGTGGTTCACCTGATGTTAAGTGATAACCCAAGGACATTTGGTACACCGGTAGGGTTGCAGATGCATTGCCACCTTTTAATAAAGTCGACCCTGGCTACCTCCCTCACCAGAAGTATAATACACCTCCACTTCAAGCTGTGAGGTTGTGGTACTTACCCAGAAGGGCATGTGAATTTGTGCAATAGCCAAAGCTGTTTTTGGGCCCTACCACAAAATATAGTAGGCAATAACTAGCTTGATGATGAGTACACCTGAGTTAAGAGTCAGTTAAGTAGTTTTACATTGAATAATTTTACACTAGTATTTAATTTGGATGTTATTTAGAATTGAATTTAACTGTGATAGGAACACGCAACAGTGTTCACTGTTGCGTGAATGTGCAGGTCCGTCTGGTTAAGTGCCACAACCTCACAGAAGACTGCTGTAAAGTAGAAGTGATACAATCCTGCATTTTGTCTGGTGAGTGACGTAGCCTGGGCCTCACTTTGTATAAAGGTGGCGACACATTTGCAACCCTATGGGTGTTGGCCTATGGCCGGCAGGTATTACTTAACATCAAGTGAACCTCCAGCTCATTAGCCACAAAAGGGGCATTAAAATATAAGTTGTGTAAAATTTGCAACTCACATTGCTATCAGGATTTCTGGCAGCAAGTCCATGTGCAAGTAAAGATGTCACCGTGCTTTTACCAACACCACCTTTTCCCGAAAGCACTAGTATTTTATGTCTTACATTAGAGAGACGATTCTTTATTAATTCTATTGCTGGGTCTGGTCCACTTGCTTCACCTAAAATGTTAAATTTTATTTTACTTAAAAAAACACGGTTTAGTTAAAATTATGTTCCAAAAACACTAATCTAAGCAAAACATTATATACTTAATTATATTTAGGTGTAATTTGAAATTTAATTCAAAGTAATAATAAAAATATCACAAATAAGTCAAATGGCAAATCGAATGTGAAGTATATTATTTCACGCCCATAAAATGGATCAACCAGTTTTAGAGGAGTGGCAACAATTGCGAAACATTTCTCACAAGTACTTTGTTTTGAGTTCAAAGTATAAGTTACCTGAAGCGCAAATATTTTGATTCGGACAACCAGCACATGCTGAAGCTTTTCCAGCATCATCGCTCTGGGTTCCAGGGCAATCTGTAAGTTAAAAGTAAAAATTAATTAAAATATTAATGATTAAAATATCCGATATATGTCGGAGACTTACGTTCAGGTGCGTTTTCAGGGACGTTGCTCATATCTACGTTTGTTATATTTAAGCTTATTATAATATTTCAATAGAATAATTATAATTAAAATAAGATTTTGTTCACTCAATACATAAACACGAACATAATATGATATGACACAATATGACAGAAATTCAAATCATCAAGTCTTTTCAGTCAAGTAACAGAATGACATTGACAATTTGACATGCTCGCTCTAGCTCTAGCTTCGATTCGATAAATTCGATTAGACTTTTGAGTTTAAGGATGTCAAAAATATCGATATTTTTGATTTGAATAATCGATATTTTAAGCCGATCTATTTTGATACGCTCCATGGAGTGAAAAAAAAAATAATTTGATAGAAAATATTCAATATCGAAATTGTATCAAAAGCGATATTTTTTACTGAAATTTAAAAGATAGAAACCAACGGACAAAAACAACTACTGTCTATATAAATATTATTGCGGATGCAGGGTTAGATTATATACTATAATTATGTATTTATAGTACAATATCATGCTTCATACTAAATATTATGCACATCTAAAAATCTAAAGTACAAAATGGTATAGAGGTGTTACAAAGCAATATACACACACGCGCGCGCTCGCCCGCATGCTAGTAATAAATATGTTATTTTCTTATGTCAAATTTTTCGTATGTGATGTTTTCTATATGTATAAAAAAATATATTTTTACCAACTGTTTTATCTTCAACATGTCTGTTAAAAATTAAAAATTCTACTTACTTAAATAATGTCAATCCGTTTTTGGCTATAATTTTAGATCATAAGATGTACCTACGATATAACAAAGAGCTGTGGATTTTGTGTGAAATAAAAATAAAAATATTGTTTAAGTTAAGTGCTACTATCTCCTAGTATCTCCATGTTAAAAATGCACATAAAGACTTCTGAACGAAATATGTGGATAATGTTGGCGAGTCTGAAAAATTTGACGATTGATCTAGATTGTTTCAAATTTGAATTTTGTTAGCATGATTTAATCAAGTTTTGTATTTTAAAAATTGTGGATTCATTACTTTTTCCTCTAAATTTTAATTCAATTATAAACAATGGCCAAAGAAGTTACTATGTGTACGGTATGAAATAACTGTATTTTTTATTTTAATTAGAAGCTTTAATTACGAGAATTTCAAATTTCATCTTTTTAATTCTCTAGCAACTTCAACAATGGAGCCCAGTAAAACCATCTGGGAGCACTCCAAGTGTACCCCCACAAGTGGGTTACTGTTTTCATACACCGAAGAAACATCCATGGAGGCCCATTATGGGTTATGAAGAAATTGAAGTGACGCCTATGTGAGTCCAGTTTATGAAGCATTTTGAAAATTGAGTATTGGTTGAAGAACAAATTATTTCGCATATATTATAGAGCCGTGGCAGTTGTGACCGGCTGTAGCGTATTCATGATCAGCATAAATTATAACATGAGTTATAATCCCAAAATTGATTACATCTTGTGTTGGTCGAATATAATCTATATTTAATTTCGTTTGCCTCACAGCACCTTCTGCTGTTGCACGGTTAGGTTCGACAAAGGAAGTACTCCGGCCTGAAGTGGAAGTATTATATTTTCGCGTTTCGTCTGTATTAGTTAACGGGAGCACACTTTTTTAAAGGTTCGCAACGCATCCGCAACTCATCAGATGTGGTATGTCACTTCACATCAGATGAACCGCCTGCCCACTGGGCGAGCACGTGATGAATCGGCATTTCAAATTAACAGTTTCATTGGCGCAGGCACCGAAAATCGAACACGGGTCTCTCGGTTGTATCGGATTAAAAGCGAGCGCCACAGATAATTATAACAATAAACTTTCTTTATTTTTTCTATATGTTTATTTTTTTTATTTATAAACCCAACCAGACGAGAAAACAAATAATAATAATAACGTTATAACAATAAACTTTATTCAGAAGAAGTCTAATTACATTTTAATATATTTCTGACCCCCATACTAGGCAATGCATGGGGCTTATTTCTTGTTAGTTCTTGACGATTTCCAATATAACGCTGCGGTTGTAGCTGTAGCAATGTGTAGCAAAAACACACCGCGCAGGCCCTCGCAACCTATCACGAACACGATGGTGGACCCGTGCTACGCGCCGGACGGGGCAGCGGCGGAGCCCCTCCGCTTCCCCAACCTGGTGACGGGCTTCGACCGCAGCCCCGAGCACGCGGCCCGCGCCGCCCTCTACACGCGCTACACGCAGCACGAGTGGAGCCAGAACAGCGTGCGCAACTACAACGACTCCGACGCCAAGAGGAACTTCTCGGAGCGCGTGCGCAACGACATCATGCGGATGCTCCGGTAAACTGGCACCGCCCACCGCCGACCCTCAGGTCCCGGCCGACGTGGAGTCGATACACTGCCACAACAACTGCAAATAGTTTTGGTTCTCTCCCAAGTCTCTGGAGTTTGCCAACGAATGTGCTGTATGTTGTGTAAATTTGTATTTATTGTATAATTTGAATTTGAGATTTGGGACGCCTTAATAGCTGAAATGATTTAGCCGCTCGAATGATCGAGCACCGTGTAAAGCTGATATTAGACCCGCCAAGAGATTTTCACGAGCCTTTTAACAATCTTGCCCTAAATATCACTTTTTATCATTTAATAGTCTATACGTTTTATATTATTTCTCGTTTTTAGGAGTTTTCTGTGCTTTACAAAATTTGGTCAACAAAATTTGATCCTTTTTATATAAAATTAGTAACGGTTAGATAGAGAACGGCTTGAGTCGGATTGTAGGTACCGTGACCTTATATAAGATTTATACCCTGTTATTTTAATCCATTTATACCCTGTTATACACATTTTTTTTATTGACACCACGTTGACTTCTGTAAAAATTCAGCATTATAATATCATTTGCTCAACAAACGCAGTGAAACCGACGAGATCGGCGCTCAAGGTCAGCGGGACTCTGGCAGGAAAATCGGAGAACGTATCACGGACACCACGTTCTGGCGGAATGAGGTATTTATCAACTCTGATCTTTTTATAGCAACGGCTTTTATTATCAGTCTCGATAGACTGTGTCGATACACAAACTACTTTGAATTACTAAAATCCGAAAAAAAGACCAGTCTTTCGATGATATTTAAATTTTTATAGTGATAATTTCGACACTTAAGATGAAAGATTAAAATGTATAGAAAAAAGTACGAAAACTTTTTCACCGCTGTGGGAGTCGACCCACGTCTGCAGGATTAGCGTCCAGACGCTTTAACCACTAAGCGAAACGGCTGATTGCCACACCGACGAAACTCTCAACATCTCTCATCTACATTATTATTTCGCATCACAAGCAATGTAGAAGAGAAACTTTTCGTACTTTTTTCTACACATTCTAATTGAGTTACATTTAAAAACTACTTTAATCTGTAAAGAAATCACTCGTGACGAAAGGTTGCTCGAGCATGTGTTATTTATATGTTAAAGCTTCATAAATCGTGTAAAATATTTTACGCACGTGTTTTTTATTATTTGTTTCTATTTTAATGAATTACATAATATAACTGTCATTACCAAATAATAAAATAATACTAATGGATGGAGTAATCAGGTGTGGGCGACGTGATGAACAGGTTTCTATAGAGATGGAGAGGCTGGTGTCCACCTGCGAGAAGCTGAATGAGACCCGGCGCCAGCTGGAGAGGGCCATCGCCGGAGTGGAGGGGCCCTTGCACATCGTCCAGGAGTGCCTCTACCACCGCGAGAAGAGGCAGGGTGAGATCGACGCCCCTAGAGGGACCCACGCATGTTGATCGGTTTTGGAACGAGTTCTAGCTATAACAAAACACAATTCACATAGACAATTACTTTGCACGCAGACTGATGTGGCAATAATGGAAAAAATAACATTTGAAAGAGACAATTGGAGAATTTCTCATGTAAGTGGAGACAAAGGCTTCTTTCGCTTGCTTTTGAAATGGTGGGTCTCTAGAACCCTCACACATCGGACGAAATACGAACGCATAAGATAGTCGTATGCGAAGTCTTGATTCTTCGTCTGTCGAACTGGTTCATTAAAAAAAAATGTGTTACAGTGGTAAGCGAGCAGGCGACACATCTAACGTGAAATGACCGCCCATGAAAATCTTCATCTCATCAGTTGCACTAATCTTTAAGTGCTCCAGCTACCTAACTTATTCAGAAGAAATGCAGAAGTTTGATACTTCGACGGCACCGGTTTTCTGAGGATATGTTACCTGTTTGTCTATACTAACAGACTACAACATCCAGCTGCAGTTGAATTGCCAACCTTAGCGGGATAGACTCCGCTCTTTTAACCCCCAGACGAAATGCGGAATACAAATTCCTCCACAACAAAGTAATTGACTACCACGGTATTGTTCCCGAAAGAATGATTCCACTTTCCAGGTCTGGAGCAGGTGCACGACGCGGTCGAGCAGTCTCTGCTCAAGGAGGTGGCGATCCTTCGCGAGTGTCAGGACAAGTTCAGGAATATGCTGGAGAAGGTACGGAGGAGGCGTTGGAAACGGTAGATTGAATCTACCGTGAAATGGTACAAAAGACCATTTAGTAAATTTATGTAGATAGATGAACAAAAACTTTCGGCGCTTTCGGATCCGAACCTGCGACTTCTGGTTTCGCGCCCAGACGCTTTACTAACAAAAGTGTGCTACCGATGGCCTCACCGCGCAAAAATCTAGACATCTATCTACGTTCTTTCTATCGCAGTTTTGGTAGTGCTTGGTGTTGACTTTACCATTTAGTCACATAGGAGGACGTGATATTTATTGTTTGCACATACGCGATCGTCTCTAGCATATGGGGTCTGAAGTAAGAAATTATATAAGGTTAGAAAAAAATCCGCTTGGAATTAAAAATTATTTTGTATATACCACTAAAAACTGCGTTACAGTTGTGAGAAAAGGCGTTTCGAAAGTAGGCGGCCAACTGTTGATGATTGAATGTAATTTATTTGAATCACTCCTTAGGTGCGGCAGCAGGCGATCAACTGCCGCGCCACCCAGCACGAGCTGGAGACCGACATGCGCAACAAGGAGTACGCGCTCGGCATCGACAACATGTGCCACCAGCTCAACAACTTCTCCAAGGTACAAAGTGAGCGCAAGAGACAAAGAGTGGAACCCTCGGCGGCTCGGCGGCCTAGTCGTAGCTGTCTGATGGTGAGATGACTATCGCTATCAACAGGATAAAACGACTGCGTAAACACAAGATACATTGCACACACCGCCGGGTGCGGCAAGCATATACTAGATTCCGCCACGCACCTAACTGGCTCTGACGTTAAGGATAGAAGCGTTGCTGGAGTTTCTTCCGCCACTTCTCCCAGCGCGATCGCTTTCCGAAGTGGTTGTAACGATAGCTGAAGAAAGCGTCCTATGCCCGGTTCCTATATTCGGCCGCTAGTTATATAATCAGTATGAAGTCGTTACGAGTCGTTATGACAGTTACGTAGCTATGTACATTTATGCAATCAGACTACAGCTACCGATCGAGCCGAGGTCCGGCCCTTTCGGGCACCGTCGAATCGGAAATTCTAAACGTGCACCGAATAATAGCCTAAGCCGAGGTGGCCCCTCAGGGGCCTTTGGCTGTGTTAGTTGCTCCACGGAGAATCCGGCAAAGCGTCCTAAAAGCTTAGTGGCCTCTCAGACCGGTACTAATAGTAATAGCGAGTAGAGGCTCCCTCGAGCTTAGTCACCCGTAATGGAGGCACAGGCTAGGCGCCCTCAGCATCTGCAAAGGCCTCCCAAGGCCAACAGTGGTTGATCTAGCCCAAACGGTAACTGAACGTGGGACACCTTGGTGGTCGCAGGGGCTGCAGTTCTACGCGGGCATCGAGCGCTACGACCCGACGGTGTGCGACGCGGAGCGCTGGGCGGCGGCCAGCGCGGCCACGCTGCAGCGCTCGCAGTCCGAGCGCGCCAAGGCGCTGCAGATGCTGGCCGGTACGGCCGATTGCTCGCCCCGGCCGCTTGCTTCACTCGGGCCGTTTGGTTCACTCCGGCCGTTTGATCACTCTAGCCATTTGGTCCCTCTGGCCATTTGATCACTGGCCGTTTGGTTCACCCTGGCCAGTTGGTCACTCTGGCCATTTGGTCACTCTGGCCATATACTCACCCTGGCCATATGACCAAGTTGACTGTATCTTGTCTTTCTTGGCAGTCTAGGTCATACATTTTAAATAATAAAGTAACTCTTATTTTTACATTCCCTTATTGCACAGGTAGATTTACAGGTTGCTCAAATTTGCCCTATTTATTTATAACTACTATCAAAGCAATCCATTGGAGACATACCATTCGGTGGTCGAAAACCATCGGTTCCTATCGATCTCATTGAGCAAGTTGTTGGCAAAGCAACTCCCGTGGAACCATCAAGAAATCGCAATCGACAGACACGGAGAACCTGATCAACGTTTCGGCGACGGAGATCTGGGACCAGTGGAGCAACACCAACAGCGCCTTCACAAGGCGCATCGCGGAGACCATCGAGATCAAGAACAAGCTGCAGCTGCACCTGCACAAGGTGACGCGGCAACCGTTCGTTTACTGCGGGTTCAATATTCTATCTACGGATAGACTGGGTGACTAGAGATTGGGATTTGACTTTAGCTCCGTCTATCTGTTGATAGAATGTTTAAACCGACCGTTTTATATCTTGCGCTAAAGCTAGCGTCCAGGAGCGGTAACTGCTTTGTATACCATGTCGTTCCATACAAACATGCCTCTAAATATAAATAATAACTTTACATAAAACTCGGTTGAGTTACGCGCCATCTGTTTGTTTTGATAAACTTGACTCGTTAAGTTGAGGTTGGCCCATATTCGTCAAACAGGGTACAGCCGGCAATCAGTACTAGCCTGTACATGTCCCATTGCTGGGCAAAGGCCAGCGCTGTACAGAGGGTATCAGGGCATAGTCCACCACGGGGCACCGCAGCGGATTGGGAGACTTCACATATGTTCCAAATATTGTTTTTTGTTATTATTTCGAAAACATCCAGTTTTCCTAACGATGTTTTCCTTCACCGCTGAGCACGTGATAAGTCAACACTTAACAATTTCATTGGTGCCAATAAGCGGGCCATTTATCTCGTGACTTATTGTAACCGAATACCGAATTTGTTAACTGTGGTTTTAGCTTCGATTGTCTTTAAAACTCCTCGACAGTTGTCTTTTTATTCCTTACAACGGTGAAGTAATTAAACGTTTTTATTACCACCAACAATCGTCAGCAATATGATGGCAATTTTGGATAGCGACAATGAGGCTGCAATTGATGACGACCATAATGACTTCGATGACGTTGATGATAACAATGATTACGACACTGATGTTCATTACGATAATGACGTTGATGACGGTAATGACGATGATGGCGAGATCGATGTAAACGGTGAAGAAGAATAAGATAAGAACGCCGTTGCAGGTGCAGCAGGAGATCTTCGAGGTGGAGAAGACGCTGGAGCTGCTGAACAAGGCGATCGAGGACAAACTGCAGCCGATGAAGGTGGCGCACAGCCGCCTTCAGGCGCGCACCAACAGGCCCCACCTGGAGAAGTGCAGGGACCAGGCGCAGCAGAGGTCAGAGTTGAAGCTGAGCCGGTTATGACTGATTTTCGCTTCAGAGCTGATTCAAATTCGCGATGAGAAATATAAATATATATACTAGCGGACCGGACAGACGTTGACCTGTACACAGGACTTAAATTTAACAAATTAGTAATAAAAAAAAATTAAATAAGGTTGTAGTGGACCGAATTATGAATCTAATCCATTCTCGAATCGACCTGAAGACACACAAAAAATTTCATTAAAATCGGACCAGCCTTTTAGGCGAGTTCAGGGACATACACATACAGAATAATTATATACGGGGTGGCATTTCTAAAGGTGCCCAAATTCACACAGAAGGTTTAGACTCGGTAGTATAATCAATCAGAAATTGTTAAAACTTTTAAAACTTTAGATGTTAAAAGAACTGCAGATCTATGGGGGATCTCGGTTAAGGTGATCAGTTCTATTATTGATATAATATCACCTTACCTAGCAACTATTTTTAATATTTGTATCAATCGTGGCGAATTTCCTGACCTTAAGAAACATAGTAAAATCATTCCGGTGTTTAAATCTGGTAGTACTTCCGACCCCAATAATTTTAGACCTATCTCTGTACTGCCAACTCTTAGTAAAATTTTTGAAAAAATCATGTTGAATCAAATGTTACAGCATTTTAGCTCTCATAATTTATTACATAACAAGCAATATGGGTTTACTAGGGGTCGCTCAACAACTGATGCGGGTGTTCAGCTCGTTATGAATATTTTTGACGAAGCCTGGGAAAAGTCGCAGGATGCCTTAGGAATATTCTGTGACTTAACCAAAGCTTTCGATTGTGTACAGCATGAGACCTTGGTCAGGAAACTACGCCACTATGGTATAAGAGATGCCACACTCAATCTTCTGAAATCGTACTTGAGCCATCGAATTCAGAGAGTTGACGTGAATGGCAAGAGATCTCCCGGGGCCTTGGTAAATATTGGGTCCCGCAGGGATCTATTCTTGGGCCTTTTCTCTTCCTCATTTACATAAATGATCTACCTTATCTTGTTAATAATAATCATGAGATAGTATTGTTTGCGGATGATACCTCTTTAATCTTTAAAGTAAACCGACGTTCTTTAAGTTATGACGATGTAAACAATACTCTATCTACTGTAGTACATTGGTTTAGTGCTAACAATTTACTGTTGAATAATAAAAAAAAACTAAATTTATTAAATTTACAACTTCCTCCAATGTTAAACATGTAAAAACTGATGTACTTTTATTTGGGGAAGCGTTGGACCCTATTGATTCAACTGTATTCCTTGGCATAACTATTGATGCCAAACTGCAATGGGGCCCCCATATTAATAGACTGGCGAGTAGACTTAGCTCAGCAGCTTTCGCGGTCAAAAAAATAAGACAGTTAACTGATGTAGATACGGCTCGCTTGGTATATTTTAGTTATTTTCACAGTATAATGTCTTATGGCATTCTGCTTTGGGGTAACGCGGCCGACATTAATACAATCTTTATCTTACAAAAGAGAGCTATTCGTGCAGTTTACAATCTGGGCCCCAAAGAATCGTTAAGAAACTTGTTTAAAGAGATAAAGGTATTGACTGTTGCTGCTCAATACATTTTTGAAAATGTTTTGTATGTCCAAAATAAGGATACATTTTTAAGACATAATAATGTTCATGATATAAATACTAGGAACAAAAATAAATTGATCCTACCCACAAGTAGACTCCGTAAAATAAGTAAATCTTTTATGGGACAATGTATACGTTATTACAACGAAATTCCAGAAAACGTTCAAAATGCATCAATAGCTAAATTTAAAAAAATAGTAAAAGAACGTTTGTGTGTTAAAGGCTACTATAATATTAATGATTATTTAAATGATAACACACTCTGGTAATGAACTGATCGCTCCAGGCTCTTTCAATCTGAGTTCTTATATTGTATTTTAACGAATTTATGTCAAACTGCTTATTTAAAAAAAAAAAAAAAGCCCGCTGAGTTTCTTTCGCCGGTTCTTCTCAGTACAGTGGCTTTCTTTTCCGAACCGGTGGTAGTGTTTTGACTATCAATAAGTGAGTGTAATGCTCCTATGTTGAATAAATACATTTGATTTTGAGTAACTCGGTAGTTTATTGAAACAAAAACAAAATTGCCATTCCATTCCCTAAAAACTGAACTCGTTGACAACGCGGTAGTCGTTCATAAATGCGTCGTATACTTTCGAAACGAACTTGTGTGCGTGTTAGTTATGAATCGCGTACTTCTTGAGATAAGTTAAAACGAATGTATTTAATTAATTACGAGTGATTTTATATATGGCATAATTTATGTCTACAATTAGAAAAGCCTCCTCCTCCTATTCCGACGTGGACCGCCTAGAAGTATGCAGAAGTCGGTGATCCCCCGTCAATGGACATCGCAGGCTGGTGCGCGAGGTGTGCGAGCTGCAGCAGTGCATGGAGCGGCTGCGCGGGCGCGTGGCGAGCGCGGAGGGCACGCACCAGACGCTGCTGGGCGTGCGCGCCGCGCTCGAGGCCGAGCTGCGCGCCAAGGCGGGCGCGCTCTTCCTCGACCGCGACCAGTGCATGGGCCTGCGGCGCGGCTACCCCGTCGCCGCCGCCGTCAGGGCCTAGCCCGTACACCGTAACCCGCTCATGTATACTCCAACCTCCGCCTTCACGGCAACTGCGACACGGAATCATTTAAGACCTAATGTTAACGGATATGTCCAGGTTAAACCAGTATAGTGGTAAGCGCTTAAATTCGGTCAGGATTTCAAATCAAAATCGCCCGTGCTCAGTATAAGTATAGATTCACTTACCGTTGAAATTCGAAACGGTTTTGAAATAACTCGATTTATCTCAAATGAACGGCTTAACCAGCTTCTAAAAATAACTATTGTATAAAACACCGATTGAGTTAAAGAATAACAATAGTGTTAAAGTCCAAAACCAAATACCGACAACACTTCTTCAGAAAGTTGACTTAACTCATATTACTTCAACTAGAAGCTTAGCTATTTAAGTGAAGTCGCCTTGAAAGGTTTATTTTGATTTCGATAAATGTAATGGTTTTTCAAAAACAGCACTAAAAATAACCATTTATAAACCCCTTCAGTAAACAGTTCCAAGCCTTGCCCTAAGTTGTAATTCATTTACAATTGTTATTTAAATCTATTCGATGAATTATTTTCACTAATCTATTTTGACTAAGCCATCTATCTTCCAGCTCTAGATTCTATATTGTGATTGCAACAACTCCTTGACCCTTATCAACACTTATCATATATTAACTTATTTGAGCTAAATACATGTTGCTTAGTTTAATTTTTTATATTTTAAGGTCGGATTGTTACTCATCTTCCCCACAACTATCACCCTGCTACAAACCAACGAAATTGTGAAGATAACAATTTAAAGAAGAGTAAAATATTTTATTTGTTCACATAACAGGGAACAACGGATTGGGATGGTTGTGGAATTAAAAAATCAGAAACAATTAATCTTGCCTTTTACTTTGCTCCTAAAAATAAAACTCTGTCTATACTGGATAATCACACTTCACAGGTAACCATAGTCCATATTAATGCCTGCGAATATGTCACAGCCCACAAACTGAACTGAACTAAAGTCTGCAACCATGGGCTCATTTGACAAAAGATGGAACAGGCAGCTTCATTCCCTCCTTTGCTTCAAAGAAGGTGTAAGAGAGCACTATCTCATCCACATATTCCATTTTGGGGTCCTCCGTGAACTCTGGGTCTATGTAGAAGAAAACAGGCATGTCCACCTGTTGAATAACATAAAATAGTTTAAAAACAAGTTCTGCAAGTCAATCACAGTGCAAGCTCATACAAGTATTTAATTGCAACCTTGAATCGTACAATGAAATATATCAGTAACCATTTTAAACTGTTTGGTTAAAATTCCATAAATATGAATTTCATTGTGGCATCAATTCAGCAGATTGGATTCAGGACATGCAATATCCTTAGCAAACATGGAATACTCTGAGTGCATTCTCGTAAGTTAACAAAACAATAGTAATCATTAAAGTCAATTTTTCTCACCACATTGCATTTAGGATAAAATTATCCAGTGTTGTAGGGCAGTGTTATTTTACATACATAGATTTCACATAGACAAATACCCAGATCTGAAACGATTGTGAGTAAAATACACAGTTGTCCCATATGGGGATCGAACCCACAACCCACCGAGCCGAAGCCTTGGTTAATGCGCCACAGAGTTTATTAATTGGAAAGATAAATAAGCTCATATGGCAGACAGTATCAGTTCACTGGTTCACACAAAAATAACAGAATTCCATTGAAGATTGTCTAAATTTCTTGAATAAGCACACAAATGTGGAGAGTTTAATCAGATAGCCACTCAACTGCTATGCATCCTGCATCACAATTGAAAAGGTTGTTGCACTAATTGTACATTTTGATACATGGGGTGAGCAGCCAAGTAAATTCAGCTCAAAGAAGTTTGCAAGCATGCAGGTAGTTAACTTAAATTTATTTTAAAGTAATAATTAACCTGATATTAAGTTATTATCCACAACTATGCACATCAACCCCTGAGGATTTGCCTCTTACATTTATGTGCCTTACCTATGATTTTGCTGATGTTAGTATTCACTTGTCTTTTATAATAAAAATACTATTAAATACTAATAAATTCCTTTAGAAATCTAATATTTATACAACTATGAAACTGATGACATTAAATAAGTTAAACCTGTTCATGAGGATTGAGCATCTGTTCTTCGAAGCAGAAGCACTGTATCTTATTGAAGTACTGTCCTGCTTCAAAAGGGATCACATTGTATGTACTAATGCCCACCACAGGCTTGTTAGTAGGATTACGTGCCGTATAGAAGGCCAGTGCCGTCTCACCAGGCAGCACCTTCAAACCAAAGTTGAATAAATTGATAAATCTTTAATCTCTAATCATTCCTATACAGGATACAATTATTTTATAATGCCATAGGAAACAAAGGGGCCATGGTAACTCAGTATCTCATTGATAACTTTTTGTTTAGTATATACCCCGAGTTCAAATCTTGAATAATGCTCCCAATGGAATTGTTCATCTCAATTATGTAATTTCCCAATATACTATGTGCACTCTGGTAAAAAATAATATTGTGATATATTGGAAATAAGTATAGATGATAAGGGAACTTTTCTAGATGAAACACTTAGAAAAAACTTAACTACACTTTAACAGTAATTTTTGAAAAAAAAAAGTTTGGACAAAAAATGGTTTTAAGGGTAAATTCTTGACCAAAAGTATTTAAAATACAGATATATAAATATAACTTTATAATATCAAAAATAAAGACAAACCCTATTCAATTTGATGTTAATCTAATAAATGTAATAATGGGTTACTAGAATGAATTTCATTTAGTTTTCAGTTTTATATCTATGCTGAACACACTCGAATTGCTATTTTTATTGAGGCTTACCATAATGTCCCCTTGTTGTGGTTTAAAATTCCACTGCATGGATGAAGCTACATCAGCATTAAAGCGGACTTTAATAGGCCTTTCTTTCACAGCTTTCATGCTGCTAACTGTGTCACTAGCCTCTGCTTGGCCTGTAGTCCCTCCATAACTGTATGCCTATTTGATCAATGGAATTTGTATGAAAGTAAAAAATAAGATTAAGCTTCATGTGTTAAGATTACATGTGAAATGTATGTATAATGAAAATATAACCACATCGAGCATTAATTTTTATTATTGATTTAATTAAGTATAAAATATGAGGGACCAATTTTTGTGAAATTTTGTGACAACCATGCCAAATTTAAATAAACATTTACCTGACAAAATATTCTGTACAATGGCACCGCAGCGTAACTTAGACCAACAGTCATTACTCCAAGAGCTATCATATAATTAAGTGTTGAATTAATTTTTTTGCGGTCATTATTTAAGCCTCGATTGATGTTTATATTTGGTACAGTCTTAGCTGTATTTAATAACGTTGCCGAATAACTAACGACTCTGTTCCTTAATAAATTATAAGTACACGAATTAATACATATTAATCGATTCATTTTGGTTAAATATTAACTTAAGAGGAATAATTAAAATTAAAACATTTATTTTCATATCAAGACAACACTTTTACGTCATTATTTTGACAGTCAATCAATGCATTGCAATGACAATGACAATTAGAAAAAGGATAACCACAGATTAAAGTCGATTTGTTTTTGTAATTGGAAGAGGTCTCCGGTCCATATGACCCGCAAACTCAGGAGAAATAACATAGTACGTGCCCTACCATGTCACCATGATTCGTCTAATAAGTTATCTTTGTAACGCCTGTTAACATACCATGAAAAATTTCGGGGGGACTAGTGGGCACAAGACTAATTCCTACTAAATGAAGGTTCGAACCTTGACTTGGATCGCCATCTTTTTTTTCCTTATAAGTGTAGTTTGCTGTTAGCCCAGCGGCTTTGAAAAGTTTGGAGGAAAAGGTCTCCCATGCTCGCTGGTCATCTGCCCGTAAGCAATAACATAGCTGGTGCACGATGATGACACGGGAGCGGTCCTCTGCTAAGGAGAGATGGAAAATCGACGTACAGGGCGAACGATCGCCTTGAGTTATTAAGTAATTATATCGACTACACGAGGCTATCTTGTCTAGGCGGCGGCGGTTTTTATTTTCATCTTATTACATGCTCGCGTTATTATTATTGTCATTCTTTTCAAGTTACTAAGACTCATTTACATCCATATTTAAAATTACATTTTATCAGATTAAATTATGGGTGCCAGGCGAAGCATTACATACATTGCCTCATTAGCTACAGTTCGAGTGCTGTTTGAATGTTTTTTTTATCTAGCGTAAAGCCTAAATATTTGGCCGTTCTTTCCCATAGAAAAGGTTGGCCGAATAATGTATCTCGAGGGGCTTTTTTCTTTCGGTGGTAGTTTTAGTGACAGTTGAACATTCTCTGGCTTGATCATTATCTCGTTCTGCCTATTTCTGAACCGTTTGCCTAGAGCATTTAGTACAGATTGCAGAAGGATAATAATACAGTTTTTGTTGCGATGGGTCGCGTATACAGCGTGTCTTTACAATCGCAACAATAAATGAACACACGTCTAACGCTACTTGCCAATAATCATAATAATATATATAAAATATTTTTCAAACAAACTAATTAAGTAAAAAAGTAATAAAATTTGTAACACCTATACAACTACAATTGAGTTATTCATACATTCAGAGACTTTTTCATTCGTTGCCACAGCGTCGCACTGCAAATCTCTCCTTCTAACAGTAGTTTTTGTCAAATGATCATATATCTTTGTTCAATATAGAAGGATTACACATATTTATTGGTTTTCAAAACACTACCACCGGTATGAAAAAGAAAAGCCACTGACCTGAGAAAAAATTAAACGGGACATTTTTTTACCATTATTTGAAAAAGAAACATGTTTTTACCGTATTAGTTCTCGTGAAATAGCCTCGAGCGATCTATTAATTTCCAGGGTGTGTTATCATTTAAATAATAACTAATATTGTAATAGCCGGCAAAAACACATTGTCCTATTAAAGAATTACTTATTCTACGCAGTTTAGTTGTGGGTAGAAATAATTTATGTCAGCTCCTAGTATTTATGTCATTTACATTACCACTTCTTGAAAAATCGTTCTTATTTTTATGAACATACATGACTATTTCAAGTATCTACTGAGAAGCAATAGTCATTTTCATAGATATAGCAACCTAACCAGAGAAAGTAACGAGGTCGATAATTGCGATTTAATCACGAGAAATAACTACTTCCAACGTTGGCTTATGAAAACATTTAGTTACTAGAGTTGAATTATTTATAAAACACAACATTTACGAAAATAATCAATCCACGAAAGTTAATTACGCAACGAGATATCAGTCGTATGTCTTTTTGTCTAATATCAAGACGACGCACAGGATCCAGATACGACCCGACACACGTAGGTTGCAAATCGGAACCTCGCGTATGCCAACGAATGCTCTCAAATGTGGCGACCTCAATACATTACTGATATAATAGTTACCTGATTACTTCGCAATTCATTCGCGATAACAAAGTTTATTATTCTTCCACTTACGACAATCTTCGGTGAGGTCGTGATACTTCCCCGGACGGACCTACTCATTCCTGCAACAGCGAAAACAATTGATTCCACTTTCAGATGTTTCATACTTTTTAATATCTTTTACCATTATAATTGTCACATTCGTCCAGGTGAAAAACCATTTACCAGCCCTCATTACGTCCTCTGGATAGGTTCTACTATCGATTTCGGTCCAAACCAAATATTTCGTTAACTAGGATGGCTGTGTTGCAACGGAGCATCAGGTATTAAGTGACTATCCAAACTTCTTCGACACCATATTCGAAAACAAAATTGATTTTCTGCGGGGAATTTAATTACAATTACAAAATAAAAGACTAGGTTTCCATTATTGCCTGTAATCTGTCCTCTGCAACCGAGGTGGAATGGCGGGGAGAAGAGAAGAGTGTTGGTATTATGTTTGGCCACTCTCTCCCTAAAAGGTAACAATCTCCATCAGACACTGTCTTCTTGGAATATCTATATAGTCCATATTTTGCACGTGAAAGTTGGCGTTTAACGAACACGCGTAAGTAACATTAGGAAACTTTGTTTATATTAGATAATTCAATGTCATAAGGTATGTTATTTTAAATTTGAATGTAAAAATCAGACACTTCAATTATAAATAATTTAATATCACAATTTTAATACCAGATGCGGATGAACATCATCGCTTGTACTCTATCGCGGTTAATTTATGTTTCGTCTTGATGTGGGCGTCTGTGTGAGTTTTTTGGTACGCTTTGTAGGTGCATTCTAAGAACGGGCACCTAAACATTGGCTCTTTGCCGCACTCGTAAGTAACGTGCCTCCTGTACGTGCTCTTGTGTCTGTATTTCCTCTTGCATTTTTCGCACTCGAAACTTGTGTCGTATTGGGACCAGTAGTTTTTAGTCTTCATTGGCATGATGGGTAACATGTTTTGCATCATCGTTTTAAAGAAATCCACTTCACCTGCAACAATGAAATTTAATTCACAATAATCACCATTGCTGAGATAACATATTGTTTTTGTAACTACATACCTACACGATCGTAATTACTGCATCTAATAAAAGTTTACTATTTATTATAATTTATGTGGGCATTGAGGACCGTAATCGTAATTATAAAAAGAAAACTATAAAGTTATTAAACCAAGAACATTTATTCACATGCATAATTTGATAATTAAAAGAAAGACAAACCAAACACACATCATTTGTTGAAATAAAACAATGTTAAAATTTGTGCCATTTTCACAACAAAGTTGGCATTTCCTTATATTATTTAAACCATTAAAATTAAGTTATATAAAATTGTTGGTTGTAAAAACCATAGAAGAAAAAAATTGTGCACTTTTTCACAAGTATGTCGAGCTTACTTAGTATTATGCACTTTAAATTAGAAGTTCAATTTGGAACAGGAACGGAATTAATTGCAAAAATCATCAAGAAAAATAATAGTATCACATTGAATACAGGTAAATGTATGAGAATGTGTCTCAATTCTAAGTTTTCCAAGGTGGCCAAGGAACTCATAATACCACTTAACAAAATTTGCATATCTTGTATAAACATCAAATTGCATACTAAACTTTAACACTTCTCGACCTGTTTTAAAAAAAACATGTTGTTTACAAAACAAACATTTTTCTAGTAAATTTACATCTGAAACCTTCTTTTTACCAAATATTGTGTAATGATGATGACGATTATGATATTTCTGATATATTTGTAATAATACCCATTTAGAGAAGATGGTTAAAAATTTAATTGATTTAAAAATACGAAGTAAATATTATTGCAAAATTAAATATAAATAAGGATTAATTTTGAAATCTCTAGGAACACTGTTAAATACAAAATTAATTTTTTAACACTATCATTATAAATATATAGTATTGGCAAATATCTTTGGTCTTAATTACCATGTTAATATATATAATTTTATTTGGTACAAAAATAACAAGACCACTCTACATATATAGACAAAATATGTGTGGGTTTTAAATGTTAAATTTTGGTGGGTCTGTATATCTTAAAAATACTTAATTATTATATTTTAATAACAATTTCTTTTCAAGGCTGTGCATATGGCAATTATGTGGTAATTATCATACACGTATTTCTTTTTTTCAATGACTGGTATTGATCTAAAAGATATTTTGCCTTTTATAGTTCATTTGGATGGTAGGACATTAACTATTTAAACTTCAATACATAAACAAAACTGAACTTATGTCTATAGTAAATGTTTTTACAAAAACTTAACTATGAACAATAATTTAGGTAGGTACTTAATATTACTTTGTTTTCAAGGCACTTATTTACGGCTAGTATAGAATCGACTGGAAGATTCTTTGGTTTAATTTTATATTGCTTTTGTTTATATTTATTTGAACTTTATAGGTAACTTAAATAACATTAACAAATGCAAAATAATAATAAAGTTCAACAGAAATACTGAATGCTATAATACAACTTTCGGCTTTTTTATATATTTCTTTGGTAACAACCAACGCACTTATTAATAATTAATAACGAGAACAAGAAAATGTAACAAAGTATTCATAATATGTATAAAAAATTGAAAAACAAAATTGCCTTATCCATAATTAACATGTAAAAATTTTTTTTTTTAGAAAGAAAATTGCTATTCTTATATATTTCGAAAGAACACAAATTTCGAATACGTATCTTATACCCGCAGGACATTCAAATAATAAATCTACTTAAATTAATTTACAGTTGCCATTTTCGAAAGACATGACATTCTTATAGGGTTAATGTTAGTTTAGTAAAATAAATTTCAAAACATTAAAACCAAACAATTAGTTTATCGCAACAATGTCTTTCTACTAATATGATTACAAAACATACAATATGGCAAGACCGAATATTTTGATAAATATAGTTTATTTTTTGGTAACTTTAGATTATTTCATTGCTATAAGGAAGACTGTGTTAACTTATAGTAATATTAAATATTTTTGCCTCGAACCAATCTCTTCGTGTCTTGCAAGTCTGGAGTTAAGTAGAAGAACCTCGATTGCCTTCGTGTCTGCCAATGGGCTGCAAAAGAAATTAATCTGTTTGTATATTGTCATTGAACAAGTTGAATAATTGAACAATGTGAAAATGGTCATTGTTGTTTTTTTATTGAAATTCTACAGTAATGCTCCCTATTTAACGATGACCATTTCTATGTTATGGTATACAAGTGCATGCTGTTTTTATTTCTACGGTATGTTGGTACATAAAATAAGCGCCAATGTACATGATTATAGCGATAGTTCTATGCGGTGATCGGTTATTTGCGGGTGAATGATCTAATGGGTTAGTAGTTTGTTAGTACGTGACACCTTCGGCGCGCGGTTATCTCTTAAACTTAATTAATTCGCCGCGATATAACTGTTAGTAAACACAAATGTACTGAACACATTAGACACCTCTATTGGCGGCTGGTCATTCGGACACGAAGTCCACTTTCTCTGGCAGATCTTTATGTAGATGGCGCTCGTGTAGCAGCAAATTGTGCTTCTGGTAGGCCCGGTATACGCAGTAGGGACACTTGAAGCTCGGTTGCTTTCTACACTCGTATTTCATATGCCGCTGTAGGGAGCCTTTGTGCTTGTATTTGTTCCCGCAATCGCCGCATTCGTGAAGTGTCCATCGTGTCTTAACGCTGCTCAAACCGGAAGTACCATAACCCAATATATAAGGCGTGTACAACTGTGCAACTGAAATTGAAAGGCAAATAAAAATAAATACGTGCATAAATAACAAAGCTACCACCGCGTGTAAAGCCAAGCCACCGTTTAAGGATAATATTGTGCCCTGTAAGCGTAGGATGATGCACCATGTCTCCCATTAATTTGCTCTTATACTAAGGGTATTATTCTATGTCTAATTTAATACAATTTTGAGTTGGCATGCAACCTTGAATGTATGAATGTACCCCTAATAAACTTAAATTGGAAATTAAATTCCAAGCGTACCATTTCCATTTTAAGTTTTGATAAGTTACATGCACGGATGTTGAGTTGTCCTACGGTTTACAGAGATCTATATTTACAAGGACTAAAATACCAATGCGGTTATATGTACATTTAAGTTAAGCTATTTAAGATAGAAGGTTAATAATACTACTGAACTATTTACCCTAATAACAAATCAATTAAGTAATGGAACAATAATAATTCTTATTGAAACAAGTATTTATCAAGAATAGCAACTTTATTTAAAATACAAAAAGGTTATAAAAATACAATCAAATGCATTTAATCACTGTAACTTCTTATTGACAGTTTCCATTGTATCTACAATCACAAATATGCTAGGAAGTAATTCTTATTTTAATGTAAATATAAGGTTTTTTTTTGCTATTTCACTTGGGTCGAGATGTTATCCATAAAGTTATCAAGTAACATTTCACTAGGTCTCTTTATCACCATTACCATTATTCCCCATGAGATATCTGTTTCCTCTATCTTTTGAGAATACTATTATCACAGTCGCGTAATACTCAGCAAGATGTCGTAGGTAAATTATTGTCAGTATTTTGATCATTGTCATCAATATTTTAATCCTAAACGTTTTGCAAAGCATTTTTATTTCTCTATTGAAAATCACAACCTAGATATTTAGCAATAACAAGTTACATATTCATGATTTGATTTGAATGAACTTTCTCGTCTGACATATTTTAAATCCTAATGACTAACGTTTCAAAGGCACTTATTTTATTGAATTGACTTGTATGGTTGTACTTTGTGAACTCTACATATTGATTGTATGATGGTAACTCCAACGGATAGTTTATTGTTCCGTAGTCGATATGCAGAAAAACTCAATGGCAAGTTCTAAATGTATGTTATTTTGTTGTTGCTTTATTATTCCATGAACAATTATCATATTAAATTAATTTTTGAACAGGAACATTGTGATTTAATTTTAATACAAAAATTTGATAACCAATAGTGCGGCTTGTAAACAATTGAGTGATTCTGCCTATCCAACTAAACAATTCCCTAGATCCTATAATCCCTAAATGGTAATGTATAAAATACTTATAAGATATAAGTGGAAGATTAATTTGAACTTCATCAAACATAACAAATATTTTGTGCACAATTTTCGATATATATTTAAATGGCAGTGGCTTTAACTTTAATAAATCCACATTAAATGTTCAACAATTACTTTGTAAGGCACTCATTCCACAGCGATTCTCTTTTTCTCCCTTCTAAATCTAGGAAAAAAATATTTTAATTGGCCCCTTAATCAAGGTCGAAAAATATGCTGATAAAAATTTTTCTTCACAAGGAACTTATCTATACGGGCTTTAATAATTCCGTTTCAATTACAACGGAATTTTAAATGAGTTCTTAATTAATAAAAATAAATGCATTACACGTAAAGAGATCTACAAATAATCGAATAAAAATTAACTTATTTGAGTATTACAAAAATAATGGAACATGCATTATGGCAAAGAACTAGAGCTTTCTAACTAAGCGAAAATAGCTTCATTTCAATTAAAACTAGGACATAAAAAAAAAACCGAATTCGCGCGCAGTGATTGATACTCCGCAACTTAAATCTAAATGCGACATAAACTAGGAATTATTAATATCTTCGATTACACCGTACGAGTTCGGTTCGGATTCCAAAAACCAAAACGAACACACTTAAAATCGTCAACATAAGATTTAGCAAATAGTAACTGCGATTGGTAACAATTATCAAACTAGGTTTTCTCACATGTAAAAAAAATTCTACCGAATCTAAGACTTACGTGTACTCGCGTAAAAAAATCAGGAATGGAACGTCTATACAGTAAATGCTGTACACGTGAAAATTATTTATAATAAAAAAAAAGTAAAAAAAAAATATAAGAGTAACTATACACAAAAATCACTTTTCCTTAACGCATACTGGATAAATGCAACAGTTGCCGACACCGTTGCGTTGTGGGGCGCAATCAGTGCGAAATACTTATCGATCCGTAACGTGGTAACGTCATAGAGGCCGGGGGGAGGGTGAGGTGAGGGGAGGGGAGGGGAGGGGAGGGGAGGGGAGGTCGGAGGTGGAGGGGCGAGGGCCACGGCTACATGCACGAGGCGTCCACGTTGTCCTGCTTGATGTAGGGCTCGGGCTTGATGTGCAGGTCGCGGTGCATGCGCTCCATGTGGCGCGCGATGTGCATCTTCTGCTTGGCGCGGTAGGCGCAGTAGGGGCACTGGAACTGCGGCTCCTTGCCGCACTCCCACTTCTGGTGGTTGCGCAGCGACGACTTGAGCTTGTAGCCGCGGCCGCAGTCGGGGCACGCGAAGCCGCCGCCGGGCCGCGGGGCGCCGCCCCCTCCCGCCCCCGCCCCCGCCCCGGCCGCCGCCCCCGCAGCGCCGCACAGCGGCAGCGCCAGCCGCGCCGACCACTGCTCCCACGACAGGCCGCCGATGCGCGAGAACGACACGTCCTCCGACCCTGAAACCCGGCACAGGTCACTCACTGGCCGCTCGGGCGCGACGCACACACGGACCCGCACCCGCCCCCCGTGCGCGACCAGCCAAGCGAAGGCCATGAGGGCGACAGAACGAGACAGAGCAATACAGTGAAAGGAAACAAAACGAGAGGGGCTCAGAACGTTTATTCGGACGCGGCGAGCGCGGCGGCCCGCGCCGTGCACAAGAAAATTCATGGCGCCGCTAGCGAATGCGCTCTCCCGAACCATGGGCTTTCTTGTCTACCTGAAAGTATTAATTATATTAGTACGAACGGACTGTGGGTGAGAGAGAACGAACGCCGACACGCCAGTCGGAACGGGTAAGCGGTGTGATATTTAGGTGTCGCATGCACACATGCCAATGTTAACATGAAATAATAACAGAATTCCGTCACTTACCTAATCGTTTCGAAATTGTAAATGGAGACATAAAAATAATTAAAGTACGCCATAATTAATCGACGAATACAAAAATGGGGGGAAAGTGAGGTAATAGAAATAAAAACGCCAACTGAAACACATAAATATGGTACACTATATTTTTATTTTTATCAACTTTTCTACCAAGTAAACCCCAATATATTCATATAAAAATCACGCTAATTGATTAACTAATTTCCAATAACATTAACAAACAATGTAAACTTTAACATCCAAATTGTTGTAAGCCAACTTACATCAGTACCTTAGACCGTTAACAAATCATACATGACATGATGGGAATTGTGTACTGAAAACATTTGCTCTATGCTTAGCAATGACTTGAATGCTTCAATAACAAATACATATCTTACCACCACTTTAATAAACTAATACTGACTTTGGTCAAATAGCTCTGTTATCCTAGGTCAACAAAAAATATATAACAGTCAATATGCTAAAGAAAATTTTTCCAAAAAGGTTATTGCAAATACAATATCGGTTAATATCAATTCTTCATATTAACTCGTTTGAAAATTTTTTGAACACATTTTTCAATTATCCCAGTACACCGAAACAATAGATCAAACAACATAATAAATAATATTTATCTACAGGTAACATTGTAGGCACATTATTTATGAGCTTTTATTTACCTAAAAGCTGCAGTTGCCTCAAATCTTTAATTATTGAATGTTACATTAAAGTCACTTGAGGCACCTGCAGAGACTAATGACGGACCGAGTCCGCTTACAATAATTATCCTAATAAATAAACAAAATTTTAAAAATAATATAACTTTGGGTTTTCTCTCTACTAATAATCTTGGGAAGACGAGTGAGTGGTCCCTCATCGGGTAGTCACTATTGAATAGTCAACAATAAATAGATCATTGGAATAACCGTAGGATGTCTCTACGGGCCGATAAAAATACTTTCTACCGTTCGATTGCATTCGGAGGACTCGTTAACACGTAATCATCTACAAAAAAAAAAAAAAAAACAACACGAATAAACTCTTAAATATCTCTTAATATCATTGCACTAATAAAATTTGGAATTACCCCCCTCATGAGGAATGTAAGGACGATTTAAAACTAATGAAATTCGAGTTGGGATCACCAATCATCGGTAACAGAAGACACATAAGTGTGGGGGTATGGGGGTGTGGGGGACAGGTGCAGCTCAGGCTCGGGCTCAGTCTTAACTACGTTAATAAACTCTTCGAACGAAAACAACAAAACTAACGCTAGGCCGTTAGGGAATGTGCACATTACATCTACCTATATATCTTTAGTGTATATTAAAAAAAACGTCTCCAACAAAATAATAGTAATAGTAATAATATTATCAATATCAATAATCATGTAAACCGTAGGTATAAATATAATAATAATTATTGCAGTACCGTTTTGGTTGGGTATCTACTTTGGTGTAACGCAATGGTCGAGAGGGAGGGGTGAGTGGGCGAGTGGGCGAGTGGGCGAGTGGGCGCGGCTAGACGGGCGCCTTCTTGGAGCGGCGCACCTTGCTGGTGGCGTAGAGGAACCACTCGTGGTTGTGGTGCTTGCGGATGTGCACGCCGAGGTTGCCGCGCTGCTTGGCGCGGTAGGCGCAGTAGGGGCACTGGTGCGCGGGCGCCTTGCCGCCGCACTCCACGTTCTCGTGGCGGCGCAGCGTCGACTTCCAGCGGTAGCGCTTGCCGCAGTGCCGGCACTCGAACTGGCGGCTCGCCTCGTCCGCGGCGGCGGCGGCCTCGCGCCGCGTCTGCCGGCCCTCGCCGCGCTTGGCCTCCGCCGCCCCCGCGGCCTCCATCGCCCCCATGGCCTCCGCCGCCCCCATGGCCTCGCGCGCCCCCGCGCCGCCGCCCTCGCTGTAGAACGCGTCCGTCTCCTCGGGCAGCACGATGTCGTCCGTGTCGTCGTACTCCGCGTCCGAGTCGGGTTCGTCGCGCTTGGCGCAGCCGCCCTTGAAGTCGCCGTGCGCCGCCAGCGTGTTGTTGTTCTGCAGCAGCGCGTGCTGGATGGCGCCGAGCGCGTCCATGGGCATCTTGGGCAGGTGCAGCGCCTTGCCGGCCGCCGGCTTCATGATATTCGTCACCTGGATGCAGGGCGGAATGAGCGCGCCCAGCGGCGCCGCCTGCTGCACCGACAGCAGCGATAACAGAGCCGACGGGAGCTCCTTGCGCAGCTCTGCAATACAACACATTAACGGTATTGCAAATAATAACTTAAGCGGGCGCGCTACGGTACTGACTCGTGTTAATGCTACCAAAGGCTAAAAAATAAAATTAAGGAACCAAAGAAATGCGTTATAATAATAATAATAATATAAAATAAAAAAATAATAATAAGTAATCTCTGTTAGAAATGATATAAAAGGCGGAAGCTTCTAAGTCATGCAGACATGCACAATTCAACGTGACATTCCCTGTTCTCTATATGTGTAAATCTTCCCATAAAGAGCTGCGGCCGCGGGGCCGGGGAGTGGGCGGCGGGAGGGGCGTGGGGCGTGGGGCGTGGGGCGAAATGAAACGTCGTCACGAACGCGTAAAGTGGTTTAATGTGGAGTAAAGGGTCGCGGGGGCGGGGCGTCACTTGGGCGCGGCGGCCGCGGGGTGCTTCTTCTCGATGTGCTTCTTGAGCTCGTTGCGGCGGTGCTTGCTGTAGGTGCAGTGGGGGCACTTGTACTGCGGCTCGCGGCCGCACTCGAGCGTCACGTGGCGCACGAGGTTCTTGCGCGCGTTGTAGCAGCGCTGGCAGTTGGGGCAGCGGTAGCCCTTGTCCGTCTTGTACTGCGCGCAGGGCAGCGGCGCGCCGCCGCGGCCGGCCGCGTACTGGCGCGGCGCGGGGGGCGCGGCGTGGGGGGCGTGGGGGGCGCGGGGCGCGTGCGCCGCGGGGGGCGAGGCGCGCGCGTTCTCCTTGGCCTCGTCGGCCGCGCGCGCCGCCTCCGCCTCGGCCGCCTCCGCGCGCACGTTCTTCAGGATGGCCAGCGTGGTGGCGCCCCCCTCCTCGCTCACTTTTTTACTACGCGTCATTATACTGTGCCGCGGCGCGGGCCTCCGACCTGAAACCAACAAGCAGCGTACAGTCCATCGGGCCGCCCGCCGCCGCCGCGGCACCACCGCCCCACCCCGCCCCCAATCGAACAGAAGCGCTCAAAAAAAAAAAAAAAACAAACGTGTGGGTAACGAAACGAAAATATATTAACTCAAAAAAATAATAATGTATATAAAAAAGGAAAAAACGTGAAACATAACGAGTAACCAAAACTGCTAATTCAAACAACGAGCATAATCAACAAAACGTAAAAAATTAACGCTATGAAATAATTTTTTGATCGACTTTCATGAGATTTCTTTATCAAATAAACTTTTAATATTACAAAAAAAAAACTCAACATTTCAAGTTTTCTTAGGTAAAAATAAACTTTTATACTAAAGCAAGATAGTTTGATTCACAGGATTCATTTCACTGAGCGATATACCTCTTTATAGTATCCTAACAATCCATGTTCGCAATCGATTAATGTGATCCAACCATGATTAGTTACGAGTTATAAATAAACGGTTAACATGAAAAACAAAAAAAAAAAATAAACAATATGAATAAAAAAGAAAAGAAAAAATCAACAGGAGAAGTTAATAAATGAATAAGAGAGAAATAATAATCAATCGAGCGCTGTCAATTTGCACATCTCTCTGTCTCTGTCTCTGGCCCAGTTGGGGTGCTTTTGCGTGATGTGGGAGGTGAGAGTCTTTTTCTGCGAGTATCTCTTGCCGCACTTGTCGCAGGCGAACTGTGGGCCGGTGACGCATTCGTACTTCTCGTGCCTCAGCTTGTTCCTCCTATACTTGTACTGCTTCTTTTTGCAAATGGAACAGAGGTACTTCCTGTCCTTGTCCGCTGCGGGGCCTCCCCCGCCACACGCGCCCGCCTCCCTCTTCTTCTTGTGCTTCTGGCCCCGTATCGTGGCCTTCTTCAGCATCCTCTTAAGTCTCTTTCTCTCTTTCAGATCGTACTTCTCCTCCTCGCGCCCGCTATTGGCGTCTCGTTCGCTCTTTAGGTACCCGCGGGTTAGTGGAAAGGGGGTTTTGGCATATATGTGCGCGCATTTTAGATCTATGGAGGATGGTTCTGCAAGGGCAAAATAATGACAAGCGATAGTGAAATTAATATGAAGCGTGGAAATGTTAATACACATATAACGTGGCGTGGCGTAGGTAATATTGCATAGATAGTAAGAGGCTTCAGATGGAGATGTGTTGTGCATAGATACTTGGAGTAGATATCAGTGGAATGAGGTGTAGCGAACGGGAGAGTAAAGCTATAATCATGCTGGTCTAAAGGAGGTGTAGGAAATAAAGACTTGTTTATTTTTTTTCCTTCTTTCATGTACCAAATATAAACATGGGGTACGTGTGACACGTTTACAACTTACTTTCCTGTCGACTAGCGGTTCAATATATTTTTGTTCGTTACATTTTTCTAGAGATAAATGAAATGCGCATTTTTGAAGTGAATGCATCTTAAATGAATGACACTGCTACATGTCGTACGTACTAAATTTATCTAAACATCGCAGCGTGTAAAAAAACATGCACATCGGTATATTAAAAAAAAGACAAAACAAAGTGAGCTAAACCTTCAAAACATGAATTGCTAGGAAAATAAAAAATAAAAAAAAACATCTGCAGTGAAATCACATGTGAATGCAAAAATAAAAAAGAAAAACAAAACGAAATAAAAATAAAAAAGAGATAGACATAGAGAGAGAGAAAGAGATGAATAAAAATTAAATAATAATAATACTAATAATAGTAGTATATAAATAAGCCAAACAAAACCAGCAACTACGACGTGAACATAGTAGTAATGTTGATTGGTTTACCTGCGGTTGATGGGTGCCGGTTGCCGGTTGCCGGGTGTCGGGTGTCGGGTGTCGGGTGTCGGATGTCGGGTGTCGGGCGCGCCGAGTCGCGGGCGGCCACAACAAACACTCACTCTACGGCCCGTTAAACTAACTCGCGTCAAGGGGAGGCGCGGCCCTCCCGGCGCCCGCTAGAACCAACAAACACGTGAGCGGCCGAACACGGGGTTAGCCACGGCCCGGTTAGTGGTGGTTAGGCGTGGGGGCGGCAAGCGCAAGCGGACGGCACACAGCACAGCACAGCACAGCACAGCACAACACGGCACAGCACAAACGCAATAGGAAACGGAAATTCGGCACTTACCTTGCTCCGCGTTCAAACGTTACCTCGCCTTCGATTAAAAAGGCTACAATCGAACAACAACCTTTGCTACCAATTACGTTACCAGTCGCTCTGAAATACTTCATCTGATATATAGGTGATATAAAAAGGGGTATACATTTGAGATAATATTAGTTAGTTTTTTATAATATTAATATTAGATACTAATTAAGATAAGGTTTATAGTAGTTCACATGTGAAAACACTAGCACTCTCGTATCCGCTGTCATGAGATTATAATATAGAATAACATGTCGTGTGTAACAGGTGCGAATGGTACATTAATCTCTAAAGCGATGACCGTTGTGTCTCGTTTCAAATTATGGGAAGACATTGCGCATTTCATCCGTTCCTTGTTCGACCGGGACAATCAACTTTTGCCGAGTGACGAACAGTCGAAAAGTTAAAGCTGTAAAGGGGTTTTTTATCCTCCGGGATATAGAAATATGTGCGTTGCATCGAAAAGCCGATTGTCCCGTTCCCGTCGGTTACGTGTCCCATCGAACAGGTTGCGTCGCCACGTCCGTTCGCGGCGAGGCAAGTGGGCCAGTGGCGAGGGCGTGGCAACGCAGCGTGTTGCACGTAGGAGGGTAGGGAGACAGGTAGGGGTGTGGGGGCGCGGCGGGCCGCAACGTGTTCGCGCTTACCTTGCGACTCCCGGATGCTGTCGTTCGAGTTCATGAGCTCGTCTTGAGATCGTTCCATGTGCCATTGGAAATCTGGAAGCGAGCAAACACGCGTTAGGATGTTTCCGGTGCTGTGCGATCGGTTTGGGTTTTTGCATGCACTGTACGTATTTCTAGGTGTTTGTAAGTTCAATGCGACATTAAATAACGTTTGTTTTTATATTGACTATATTCGTAAAAATGAGTTTGTTACGGCAATTTCGTGTTATCTTCGTGAGCCAAGTGCACTTTAATACATAGATACATTGTTGTGCATATTTAAGGGAATATATATAACAATTGGGGGAACTATAAAGCATCTTCAAATTGTGGTCACCTCTCGGTACAAGATTTAATAAGGATGCAGAGCCATACCAGGGGCGTTTAATGTATTCTCAGTATCGAGGTGATATAATAACAACGACAGTAATTCATCATTGATTATCATTTCAGCCTATTTGAGTCGACTTTTGAACATATGCCTCTCCCACATACTGCCACGAAACACTGAGCCACCTGCATCCATCGACTTCCCGCACATTTGCACAGGGCGTCACTCCATCTATTGGCGGGTGGTCCTACGCTGCGATGGCCTGTACGAGGCTGCCACTCGAGAGCCTTTCTTTCCAAACGGTTATCGGTTCTACGAGTTATATGGAAGCACATCGCCAGTTCAGCTTGCTAATCATCTAAGATATGTCGGTTACTTTTGTTCTACCGCGGTTGCCTTCGTTGCAAACTATATCTCGCAGAGAAATACAGAGCATAGTCTGCTCCAAAAGTCTCAAAAAGTTATTCACAAATAAATGGCCGTTAAAGGGAATCTTACCAATTGATCACACAAAAAAAGGTCAAAGTATTACTGCCGCATCTAATGTAAATACCCTACGCATTTTCAAGGAGGCAAGAAAAGAAAAAGAAGTGGAAAATTGATCTCAAGTGTCTTACTTCTTCAGGACAACGCGCCGGTTCACACAGGGCGCGTTAACCTAGGGGATCCTTTCGGATTTAGGGGAAGAAATCAATCATCCAACCTACAGCCCGAACGTAGTAATTATTTTCTGTTCCTCAACCTCAAGAAAGATCATCAACATAAGTTTTCCGTCGATGAAGAGTTGAAGACGGCAATTGATGAACATTTTTCAGACAAGAAAGAAAAATATTTTTAGAGGGTATTTTGTAGTTGTTTTCAAATAAGTATATTGAGGTAATTTGATCTAAATTATCGTATGCTAATTCACATGCCTCTAAGAGAATGGAATATGTTTTGACGCCTCTCGAAGTTCAATACTGAATTTTTAAAAATGAAACGAAATTAAATCAGTCATGTTCACGTAGATAAATAACATTCATAGAATTTTTATCGATTTTTGCGATGATCGATTTAAAATTTGAAAAGCTTCGAAGCTTACATGAACATAACTTCTACTGTGGTGGTACCACTCAAGTCTTCGCTGAATTGAAGGTCGCCACGAATTTGGAGGTCTGTCCGGGGAAGTACCACAACCTCACAGAAGACCGTCGTGAAGTGCAAGAGTTATACTTGTGCGTTTCGTCTGGTGAGTGAGGTGACAACGCATTTGTGGCCCTACGAGCCACGAGCGGCGGTGGTGTAGAAATAGGAAAAATCATTTCAAATCTTGCTTGTATTTAAAATTGAGTGTGTAATCCAAAGCCACTGGTAACGGCTCGGACATAAATATATTGTTAACTTCCCATAATTAGTGTTCTTAACCAATCTGTGGTTTGATTTACGACGGCAGCACCGGTCACTAGGCATGAGATATACCTGTAACATTCTGTACCCGGCCTCAAAGGTACGGGTATCGCCGTGTTCCCGGTGCTAAAACCCAGTATCAAAATACCTATAGGTATTAGTTATGTTCAGGACTCCTTTTGGTGACTCAATCGAATCAAACGAATTGAATTATTGAACCTTTGGTTGGAACATTTAGATGTTTTTTTAGCAATCAGTTTTTTGAAATTGATATTTAATCAGTCTAAAATAAGCTCCATCTTTACTAACGTAAAGAACCCTATTACCAAAAAAAAAGTAATTCAAAATAAATATTACTGTTTACCCTTATTACGCAATTATTTATCTACCTAACTGCATAGAAATTAAATAATTATTTCGTATAAGATGCCATAGGCGATCGAGTGCCAACGTTATGAAATACCGCCACCGTCTGACGAGGCGGCGCTAGGTCCGCGTACTCGCGAGCGATATCGACAATACCTACGGGTCTGGAACGGGCCTCTGCCGTACATACCCGGTCTGCATACTGGTACGTTCATACTGGGTATTTATACCTGTTCCAGTATATACGCCTCATCTCTACTGGTCATGGCCCTAACTCTCGCGTGAGTTGTCATCTACCTCCCGATGCGCTTTGACGTGACTGACCTTATCGTTCGGGCGATTTACGGTAACAGAAAATATTAGGATTCCGGAGCCCTAGGCCCAACGAGAGGCTGGATTCGGAGTGAACAAATAGTATAATTTCATAATCTACTACGATTTACAGATATTTTGTACGCTTTCCACGTCTGTACTGCCATATCCTCTGCAAAAGTGACGTGTAATAGTAAAAACGTCATTGTTTTATCGATATCTTTAGATCAGATGGGTGTCTGTTATAAAAAATGAGGGTCAAGGTCAAATCATAGACTATTTAAAGAGCTCTCAGCACATAAGATAAACAGTAAGCATTGTGATATTTGCTATCGAAAAACGTGTTGTCCTTTATAGAATTAGAACTAACTAAAAATACTAAATAACTTAGTTAAAAGACGTAAATTGTGACGTTAATTAATGATTTTCTAACAAGAATTACTATTATTTCGTACTAACTTTAATTCACTTTAATACTAAGTTTTTTTTTTTATCAGCGATATGGTATAAAATAAAAGGAAAAAGAAACATATAATGTTATTTCAAACATTTAAATTTGTCTTTTTGTATCCAGTTTGAAATAATGACGATGAAAAACTTACTTCTTTCCACTTTTGGGTTCATCGTGTCAAATTGTGGGTGAATTTTCAAATAGCAAGTGTACGACGCAAATGGGCGTGTATATGATTACACAGGTTACACTTTCACACGTCAGTGGTACATAAGACATGAGTATTGGACACAAAATATAAATTTACGAGGGTACAAATTTACATTTTGTCTTTCAGGGAGAAAGTGTCCTAAGCTAATTACTTGCGGACATTCATTAACACCCCACATTCCCACGTAAGGTTCCGATAGATCAAGCTACGAAACTGCGAAAATATAGAACGTTGTAGCTTTAAAAGTTTCTCCCATAATTTATCCTCAGTAACGCATTCGAGTGCAAGTTATCACTCAAAAAATAAAAATGATAAATCCCAAATTTCTAGCATAAATTATATAGATGACCCAAATAAACTCATTTCGAACTTTAAATAAAGCAACATGATCCAAAGATACGGAAGCTGTGCCCTGACATAGAATGATTGTCGTGCCTCGGCCTAGCGCGGTCGTCAATTGCTTTAGAATAATTACAAGGGGTATGGTCATTACAATAATTAGAAGGTCGACGTGTTGCCATCACTGGTCGTGTCTGTACAGTTTTTGTAAACAGTTATGAAATCGACATTCGTAGACTAAACTATCGTTAAACTTGAGACGGTGGGCTCAAATCAATTTTTCACTTGAGTGGAGAGATTTAAAGAGATGTTTTCTTTGTTTAAACCATTTTTTGATATTCTTGCTAGCTCTGGGATCTCATACGGGCCACATTAGTTCCTCTCGGCGGCTGCAATACGAGACCAATTTGTTCTACTACCTACCAGATCCATTAAGTACTACAGGCGGGGAATATCGTTTATACTAGATTCCAGACCGATACATATAACGTAGTGTACTGCTTGTAATTTGATTCTTATAAAAAGTCTCTTACACTTGAACCTTAGTGCATCAAATTTCACGACATTGTAAAACCTGAGAGCAAAGAGCTGAGCAAATTACAAGTGCATCACAACCTAGTCCACACATTATATCCGTTTGGCACCAATCGAAAGTAAACACACCTACACGCACACATAGCCGATCGTGTAGGATAAATGCACACGGACAGATTGTCCGTTGAATAATATAGGTTAACGGGCACTCGTGCATCGGTTTAGGGATGTGCAAAATGAAGATATCGATATATGTATATAAAAATGTTAATATCGGCCTCGATATATGGAAGAGGACCCGTTGTAAAAAAAAGGGGCATATATCAAGTATGAAAAATTCAAGGCTGAGCCGGATTCGAATTTAAATTAATATCGTTTTTGATACGATTTCGATAATGAATATTTTGTTTCGGTATATCGATTCCAAAAATATCGATATATTTTCGACATCCCTGCATCAGCGTCGGAGCTTCGCGATGCGAACGCTGCGGATGTTTTAATTTAGCGGTCGCTCTGCGAAGGGTACAGCGGGGAAAACTTGAACGAACCCAGTTTAGGAAGGCGATGCTTCGGTACGAACCGAAGATGGTTTTCAGCAATTGACCGGATTTTTTTGTTTATCTTTGTATTATTCAATTACGTATTTCTTCAGGTCAATGCACTGTCTTATAGAACTTTGGCCGCTTGGGATTTAAATTGACTGTTTGTGCCAAAATAAATGAAAAAAAAAACCCAGTTTGTTTGATACATCTTCACAAGTCCTGTTCAAATCATTCTGGATGTTATTGAAATTCATTGCTATTTGTATAAAGTTTTTTTTTTAAATTGTCTGTGTATGTGTGTCTGGTGTATTTTTAGCTTAAGCTTTGTATTAATTTCTATTATGTATAAGTTTCATCTTTAATTCATCGTTTGTTTATGGTTATGTATCTCTATCTTTACACTTGTCTGTTACAAATACTCCTTTAACTAGATTTCCAATTCTTGTTATCGTGCATTATGTTTGTGTAAAATGAAACATGTACGCGCGTAGCATAAGTTTCGTGTAAAATTCTAGAGTGATCGAAAACTCACTGCGCACGACGTCGTTGTGGTGGGCGGGCGGGTCGGGGTGGTCGGCGCGGTCGCGGTCGCGGTCCGGGTCGTGGCCGTGGCCGTGGTCGTGCTCGTGTCGTGGTCGTGGTCGTGGTCGTGCTCCTCGTCGAGCGTCAGGTCCTCGACGGGGTCCACGGCGCGCGCCACGGCCGGCGGCCTGTCGTCGGCCGCGGCCGCCACCTCGCCGGCCGGCTCGGCGTCGGGCGAGCGTCGGGCCAACTTGCGACGGCGGCTCGGCGATAGGGAGCCGCCGCGCCCCTCCGCGCTCCCGTCGCGCACCTGTCGAACATTATGCCTCGTCACAACCGCGCCGTCTCTTCGAACCGCTCGCAGACACGTCATCAAAGACGAATGTAATTTTCTCTTTATATTCAACATTATTATTTAAGCTCTTATTGAACCTCAGAAAACCTACTACCGTTTCACTAAACTAGACTTGTCCAGAGAAGAAACGGCAACAAACTCTGCGGTCTTGTTAGCTTTTCCTTTTTTCAACATTATCCCGTGTTGTAAGGACGTTTTAAAGGCATACATTTCATATGAACAAACACCCCCGATCCGAAAACATTATCTGTGGGTCACACAAACAGTTGTCTCCTGTGGGAATAGAGTCCGCGGCGCCGAGGTCGTAACCTTGACAACTGCCCCACGGAGGCATCAGAGTATGCAATTCGGCCGTTAAGAGGTTACACGGGTACAGCTATACCCTTTTACCTCACACAGGTGTTATCATTTAGTATCCGGTGAAACTAATTTACCACCTCCCAAACACACACAAATTTAACAATGGACTGGTTGGAAGTAAATTTTCGAAAAATTGGTGTCCACTGCCAGGGTTCGAACCGGCTCCTTCCAAGCAACGCGCCCAGACGCAACTAAGCTAAGCGGTTGATGTCCTCACGCGCACAAACATAGTCTAGATTGCGCGTGAGGTGAGGTGAGATGAGCGTCTTATCTAATTTGTTTTTATTTCAATTTTGGCAATGCATGGCGCTATTAAGTGTGCTTCATCATCATTTCTTTTACCGGTGGTAGGGCCACGCAGCAGCCTCGGTTGTTGCACGAATGGGCAGGCCCGTACGGGTAAGTACCACGACCTCACAGAAGACCGGCGTAAAGTAGAAGTTATACACTTCTGCGTTTCGTTTGGTGAGTGAGGTAGTCTTCTATTGTTGCATGAATGAGTTGCTACCAGGAAAGTACCATCACCAAACCGGAGACCAAATGCCCAACTGAGGGTAGCAGTGAACGGCTCTCTATCAACTAACGGTTTCAACTCCAAGAATTATATATTGGTCTACTGGGTTGTCATTACGAATAAGAAATAATGCGTAAATCATCATGTTATTAGAAAGATAAACAAGCGTCTTCTGATTATAAAATCACATGAAAAGAAAAAAATACGTAAATTTTATTAAATTGAAAATTAAATCATTGTTTTGTGAATACAAAACAAATAATCAATTTAAAGACTAAATTATACTTTTCATGAACACATCCCAAGGAATAAAATCCTTTGCGTTATTTTTTATTTACTGGATTACTAACGTAAAGGTGAGTATAGACTACAACATTTACTTGTAACAGAACAACGAGCCGCTCTATGATATGTTCTAGTGTATCATCCTTTCACGAACTAAACGTCAAGCACGCTCGCCTCTTTGTTACAAACCATATTGCATATTGGTGTAACATTTTTTCCAGCCACGAGTGCAGGCGATGCGCGGATGCCATTTCTATTTTTCTTCTAATATAATTCATCAAGATAAACGCAGCACACGCAACTTGTAGGTCCGACATTTAAAAAAAGAATGAACGCAAGGTACAACGAAATGTTGGTAAATGCACACTCGCTGTGAGCATTTACCCGTAACATAACGCCGAGCATTCGCAGGAACGTTACATTACATGGAAATGCTTTGGAAACTGAGCTTTTGGGTGTATTGTACCATTCGTAAGAACGTTACATTACACAAAAATGCTCCGGAAAATGTTGTAGTCTATAATCACCTTAAGATCAACCAATTAAGATCAATAGAAATTATTTGCTACATAGTACAATAGATAACCGTTCTCACATTTATAAGTAAACACATGCGTTTTATCCTGTTACTGTAATGAAAAACAATATAAAAATTACATAAGTTAAAAATGAGACAAAGGTCAATCACGATAGTAACTATAAAGGTAAGTAAATATTTTTAATTTTTGATGCTACAAAGTGGATGGTCAATATCCAAATTTTTCTCAACGTATTCATTGCATAAGCGGTAAGCACCTACTAACTGTGAAAAACGACCCAAATCAGCTCTGGATAGTCTGGACTTAAACAATTTACATTGTCTGGACATCTCGGGATTCATTCATTTATGTTAATCTATTAAGCAAAGGCGGACAATCGATAGATCATTTTAAATCTAATCGAAAAAATTTTATCTAAAAGCCCTACACACACACTCCTTATACTCAATTTTTCTCTCACGGACAAGCTCACATACATACTGCCCGCACGAAGATAGAATATCTAATTAATTCTTAGGGTAGTGTTTATCTATAGTCTTAGCTATCCCTCAAAGTAAAGGAAGTAGCCAGCTATTTCAAATAACAAGTGTCTATGACAACTTACTTTGAAAATTTATTTTTATTTATTAATTATAATCCAGGTAAAAATTAATAGTACTGGTAAATTAAAGCCATCTTCACTAAGTGTGAAATTGCTACAAATCATAAATAATCCTATTAAATCTACATGTCTTATTATACAGTAAAGCAAAAATAAAATGATTAATCAAATTGAAAAATAAAATTCAAGAACAAACAAAGTAAAAACTCTTAAAGATACATATAGAATGTTAGATTTGAATCGATCTTTGAGTCATAATTTATCAAGATTTCAGTAATTTATTAAGATGTCATAGTTTACACCATATGAAAATATCCAAAAAAAAAAAGATTTTTCCTCTTCTGAAAGGAGATTATTTACTTGAGCCATAATCATTAATTATATGTATATACATAATATGTATTTAGTAATATAAACCACAAAGTGTCCAATGCAGTCTGCTTTTCATTAAGTTTAAACTAAATGATCACCTACTTTGCACCTGTAAACACTAAAAGATTGCCTTTGTAAGTATGCGTAAGTACCATGAGCTCGAAGAAGATGGATGTGAGGTGGAAGTGTTATACTTCTGAGTTTCGTCTGGCGAGTGAGGTAGCCAGGGCCCACTTTATTAAAAAGGTGACAGCAGACCTGTAACCCTACGGGTGTTGCAATTGTCAATGAGCCGCGATTATCACTTAATGTCGGGTGAATCATCAGCTTATTTGCCACCCTCTTACACATAAAAAAAATAATGCAAATAATAAATAAATTGATGTCTGGAAAGTGAATTATATTATTATAAATAGAACTGTAAATATGGAATACCTACACGTTTCTACCTTTACATTTATTTGAATAAAATGTGTATAGCTTAAGGTATTCAGGGGCTTTTGTTGTTCAGTAGCTTATTTTATACGATATTACATTCATTACTTATGATTTCCTTTAAATAATATAAAGTTATAAGCAATGTAATGAAGAATCTGTATTATTGTGAATTCTTCATCTATTAAGTATTTCTGATGTTAAATAAATTTTTACACATTGATACTAAAGAGATATGTGATGAATAATTGTAATAGGAAACTAATCATGACCATTTCAATATTATCAGATGAACTAATTTAACCTTGGCAAACAAAATGTTGATACATAAATAATTGGAAAATATGTTAAAAGGAATTTCTTCGGGGTATATTGGAGATATTTTGTAGTCCACATGAACATCATAAATTATAGCACTTGAACTAGAGTATTACATAGTACACTTTAAGACTAGGCTTTGCAGGTGCAAATAGTTATTTGTATTAATGCGGAAAATCTTAGTCATCTTATTATAGCAGGCTAACACTATTGAAAGCCAATAATAAAAAAAACATACAGACAATGACTGGAATAACTTACATTTGCTATATTAGTTGATAAATGCAATGCTTAGATATTAGCATATTAAGTGTTCAATACCAATTATTGTTGATAATCTCTAGGGATTAATAATTTTTCAAAAGTATTGAGTATTTAGATGTCTACCAACTATCGATTTTCTTTTACGAGTGCATGTGTTAATGTTCTGTTACTTTAAATTTATAAAAATACCTTCTTATAATTGATTTTAAATGTAAACTACTAATAGATTTATTATCTCTTGATATAATAACATGGTTGAAAGACTAGTGATTTTCATTATGGGAAAAAATTAAAGAAATTCCTTAATTGTTAAAATACAAAAAGTATAATTAAATGTAATCGATAAATAATGTAAACATTCTATTCAGTTATTTTAAACATTTGAATTGAATTTTTCCTGAAATATTTATTTCTGGAGATTATGAATTATGTGTTCATTCGAGTCTCATTGGTTTTAAAATGGTCCCTTTTTAAATTTTTTCAACACAACAAAACTATCTAATACCAAATCAAGTACAACTTATACTATAGATGCTAGTAGAACTGATATAGGTACATATACATTGCTGTATACTTTTATTACTTTTCCATGCAAATATCTTAGTCCTGTGGTTGTTGGGGGATTCAATTTTTCTACATCAGTCGTGAGATATTTATAGGTTTTCAGCTTAGTTTTTTTTTCCTTATTTTTTTATATTTTTTTTTATGTGAAAAGTTGCCAAACGAGCAGATGGTTCACCTGATGGTGAGTGAATATCGTCGCCGTCAATATTGTATTATTGCTATCATAAAAATGAAATTCATGACTATATGGCAAGTAATTTATGCAGTGTTTTGAAGAGCCCACGTTTTTGTGGATAGGAATGATTGGTCCCTGTACAAGTCGGCTAGAAATCGGTGTAATCAGATGGTACGCAACGCTAAACGCCGTCACATCTTCGATAACATTTCTTCATCTACTCCTGGAAGTTCCTTGGGACTCTTGGTATCGGTAAGTCGCGTTTTCCAAACCTTCCTATCTCAATCAAATTAGATGATTTAAATCAACGTTTCTCCACCACTTCATCGATCGATCATCTAACGACCTGTAGCACGATTTCCTTTATAAATGGTTTGACGCGCCCTGATATTGGTTCATTTAATTTTTCTCCAGTTTCTTCTGACGAAATCAAAAAAACTATCCTTTCCATCAAATCAAATGCACTTGGATGCGATAAAATAGGCCGACGCATGATAGTCCCTATCCTTGATCACCTTCTTCCTGCGATCACCCACATCATTAATTTTGCATTGGATACTGGATCTTTCCCTTCCTTATGGTGTAATGCACTTGTGCGTCCACTGCCGAAATGCCCTAATCCTTCTCTTCTCTCTCATTATCGACCTATCTATATATTACCCTTCCTTTCTAAGGTGCTAGAGTCCTGCGTTCTTAAGCAATTTTCTCACTTTGTCCTTAGTAACAAATTGATAAGCCGCCTACGATCCGATTTTAGACCTGGCCACAGTACCACCACCGCCCTCCTTAAAGTGACTGGTGATATTAGGGCAGGTATGGAAAATACCCAAGTTACTGTTTTGGTATTAATCGATTTTTCGAATGCCTTTAATACCGTCAGTCACGGCATCCTATTAGCAATCCTGTCCTATTTAAGGGTTTCCGATGAAGCACTGGAATGGTTTTCGTCTTATCTTCGAGGGCGCCGACAGGCAGTTAGTATTGGTGAATTGTCATCAAGCTGGCTTAATCTTGCAAGTGGTGTCCCTCAAGGCGGTATTCTCTCTCCTATCTTATTTTCAGTTTTTATTAATCTCATTACTCATGACCTTCAATGTGCGTATCATCTGTATGCCGATGAACTGCAGCTGTATACACAGGCGACCACTAATAGGCTCCCAGAAATAATCGAGTCTATAAATAAGGACTTAGTTGCCATCAAAAAGTGGTCTGATAGGTTTGGCTTAACCGTCAATCCATCAAAGTGCCAAGCTATCATAGTACGAGACTATAAGTAAAGTGGACTTGGGTGATCTCCCGCAAATTATTTTCAACGGTTCTTGTATTCCAATCAGCCGTAATGTGAAAAACCTCGGTGTGTACCTTGACATGACGCTCAGCTGGAATGCCCAAGTTAATAGTGTTTGCCAAAAAGTCTCAGGCGCCCTTCGATGTCTATACCGCCTCAAAAATTTCTTGCCGACAAAAACCAAGGAATTGCTCGTGCAGGCCTTAATTTTCCCTGTAGTTGACTATGGTGACGTCTGCTACTTTGACCTGAATGCAGATCTCCTCAATAAACTTGACCGTCTTCTGAATAACTGCATTCAATTCGTTTTCAATCTTCGCAAGTATGACCATGTATCCTCTTACCGTGATCAACTTCAATGGTTACCTATACGTCAACGACGTTCCCTAAGAGCACTGACTACTCTTTATTCTTTCCTGAACTCTCCTTCTACTCCGACTTACTTATCCCATCATTTTCAGTATCTATGTGCGGTCAGCATCAAAAACCTTCGCTCTTCGCAAAATCGTCTTCTTGAATGTCCTTCTCACCGTTCTGACTTCATGCATTCTTCTTTCTTTATCCAGTCTATTCTTCTGTGGAATGCACTCCCTCTCGAAATCAGGTTGGCTAAAAGTCGCTCTATATTTAAAAACAAAGCTCGTGAGCATATTTTCAAAAACTTGTCACGGTTTTAGATCAATTCCATCTTTATGTTTAGACTATATTTATATGTATGTATGTATATATATGTGTATATATATGTAATTATATATATGTATTTATTTATATATGTATGTATTACGTATATTTTGTAGTATATTTCCTATGTTATTTTGTATATAATTTAGTACTGTATTTAACATAAACATATATACATTACATAGTTTGTAAATATTAGCATTTTCCTTGTTGGAAATTTCTCTGTGCACCTACCTAATTTTCTCTGTACCACCCCAAAGTTGACTGGGAGATAATGCTTTTAGCATTAAGTCCGCCATTGTACTATTTGTGCATAAAGGATAAATAAATAAATAAATGATGACAACAGTTAAAATATTGACTAATTTGAATGTTCTCGGAAAGTTAAACAGTTGAGTATGAATAAAGTTGTAATGGTTTAAATATGCTGGATGGGATTTGTTGTCTGTATTAGTCAGATGTAATAATATTAGAATTCATGTTATTCTAATGTTTTTTTTTTTGCTTTTGCTTTCTACTTTATCAAAATTAACGATTGAGATATAATTTGTAGATTAGGTTTTCTGTTAATGGCAAAAACTAACTCAATAGGATAAAAATTTATGTTTTCATTAATAACCTTTTTTTGGTATTAAGAATGTATGAGGCTCAATTTATTCATAATCTGTTTCAATTCAATAACACTTCTTTTGCACTGAAGGCACAATTAGTAAATCATGGTCTGCAATTATTGAAGAACTTTTGGCAAGTTCAAGAAATTTATAAGAAATACTAGCTATCCCGGCAAATTTTGTTCTGCCATATAAATTATTTGTAGGGTAGAAAATACTGTTTAGGGTGGACAACCCTTAACATTTAAGGGGATGAAAAATATATGTTGTCCGATTCTCCACCCTGGCCGATATGTCCACAAAATTTCACGAAAATCGGTCGAGCCGTTTCGGAAGAGTTCAATTACAAACACCGTGACACAAGAATTTTATATATTAGATTTATTTAAGTATTGCAATTCTAAAATCATAAATGTTAAATTGATATTGATGTTTTTATTTTTGTTTCATACACTACAGAAACAGCTACATGGATTTTTTTAATATCAATATTAAAATATTGACTGTTGCTTCTCAGTACATACTTCAAAATGTTATATATATCCATAAAATAAGAATGAATTTTCAACACATGGTGACGTGTAAGATATAAATACTAGATACAAACAAATTAATATCATCCTCAACTAGACTGTGTAGAATAACTAATTCTTGTAGCCATGAAAATGAGACATAATGGTTAAAAACATATCCCACTTAGTTCCTTTCACCACTTCTTCTCAGGTCAGTTTTCTTTACCAAACTGGTTGTAGTATTGAATAAAGATATTTCAATTTAGTTAAATTTTGAAAGAGGGAAGCTCAAATGTTGTAGTAACAAGTTGCACTTATCCCGAAATGTTTTTTATGAGTTTTGTCAATAGATTTAATAGAAAATTAATTGTTTCATACCTGAGGAGGCGGAGAGGGAGCTCGTGGCGGGTGTGCAGTAACTGCTTGAGCCGGGCGCGACGGTGGCCTTGAGGGCTTATTGTCTGAGAGACCTTTGATCTGTAGAGACTCCGCTGCTTTAAGCAATGCGGCCAATTGGTCCTGTGATATGTTAACTTCTCCCCGATACATGTAATCCATCATAGCTCTAAGCTCTGCATATTTGACATCTTTAAGTATAATGATTGGATGTTTGTCATATTGTTGGGATAACACATTCTGTAAAAAAGAAAAACATGTCTTATTCACTCACTTCTTTACTTCAATTGACAATGTTGGTATGGCAATATTAGAAATTAACAAATTTTATTTCTTAGATATTTGGAAATTGTTTTAATTAGGTAATTCTACTTTATTCAAAACAAATTATGCAACATACATGATTAAAATTGAAAATTCATTAACATTTTGGTCCCCTCTGTTGCCAACTCATCTATGTATCAATCTAAAATTAATTGCTAACTCATGAAAGCTAACACTCAACAAGTGGAATGTTTATTAGAGCAAAACTGTGATGGCTTGCAAGTAAGTTAAACACGATAGTAATTGACCTACATTGCGCTAAACCATTTAATGATACAAACCTCGAAATAGGGACTGCATGCGGACAGGACCACTTTATGTGCTTTCAGCATTTGCCCCTCCGCAGCCAGAGTACAATCCACGTGAATGCCCTTCTCCAATAAATTATCGAACACGGATACTAGAGTAGACTGGTGATTGTTCCATCGCAGACAAAACTGCTGATGGTCGTCCATGATTTTGCCTCGCCACTCGCCGCGCCCTCAGCCCTACGATACCAAAGCATTCGCTCAACACATATTCTAACACCACGCAATAATTAGGCCACAGCGTAAAACTATTCGGAACACACAAACAAATGGTTGGCTCCGATTTTCAATCCTAACAATGTAAATTTTCTCACCTATTCACTTCACACGATGAGATCACGCCTCAACTTAACTAAATTAACTTTATGGACCACATACGACTTGTCGTAAGCGACGCGGCACAAAGAAAATGGCCGCTTTTCCAGCGCGACAAAAAATAAAATGGCGACGAAAATTCTAAGTTTTACTATTTTCTGAGCAAAGTTTTCTTGACACTCAAAACAAATTCAAGTTCACCGTCTCCATGCAACAGAACAAACTTTGAGAAAGTTTAAAGTCAACAAAGAAACTTCTCAGAAACTTTACTTTTGAAAGTTCACGAGTGGAAATTTTCAAGATGAAAAGTCGTAGCAGTAAGTAAGCACTTATCACATTTAAGATGTCACTCTGTAACATCTAAAACACTTACCTTTATTATATCATCAACTATTAGACACTAAGATATGTTTAACACAAAATTGCAACATTAAGCTCTAATAATGTTGCCAATTGAAAAATTTTAGAAAGCTTGAAAACATTTAAAATAAGACTAATTTGATTGTTCGTTTCAATTTTTAAACATTAAAACTTATGTTATATCGTTTCTATAATGTAAAGTTTCCAATATTTAGCTATTCGTTGAAATTTTCATTCTATATCATAACAAATGATATAACCTTGACCTACTTTATTGACAGAAGACTCGTGATGTTTATTTCTCATTTACATTTTCTTATACTTCTTTATGATGTACGTGGTTTTGATTTTAAATAAAGTACTAATTTATTCTCGATATATAATGAGTAAAATTAATGTGAATAACTACTATACGATATCTTTATAGTATAATTTCTGTGCATTTTCAGCGCCATCTATACTGTCATCTGTAGTACTAAGTACGTTACAAGCGCCTAGCGCCTAGCGTGAGCGCTACCTACCTTATGTTTATGTTTGATTTGATGTAGGTAATTTGAAGAACTTTGTACTTTCTTTTGTAGTATTTTTACTATTGCAATTTAAGTATATATTTATGATTGTATGACGGTTTAGAATGGGTTAATAGTCTTATTGGTATAATCAAAAGTGATCGTACGAATAAGACTGTTTATAAGCCAAAATTATGTCTTAAGTGTATTCTGGCAAAAAATATTTCAAATAATTTTTAGTTTCTTTCCAGTGCAGGTGCGCCGTGATTAGTTACACCAAATGATATTATAATAGTATAAAATATCATTAGTTACACCTGAATATTGATAGATTACAATATAATTATTATGATTTACTCAAAATTGATATATTTATAACGTTACATTAAGTGTTAATTGAACCAAGTATAATAAGGAAAGCGATTCCGATATTTTACCACAAAGTAAAATATGACTTTTATAAAATGTTGAAATGCGTAATTTAACCAAATATTAATGGAATGGACAAATACCATATAGCATGCATAATATATAACTAAATATTTCTTTTATTTATTTAAATAAAATAATCAATAGTTTTTGGTTCGGTTAACATAAGAAACTTTTACGTGAACGCCATATAAAAACGTCTTTATCATTATCATATTCGTGCACCGTTGGGTATACGGAATCCGTCTGACCCCGGATGCGCCGTCTGCCGCTTCGTTATAAAAATCAATAGCATTAGTGAGTTCGTACAAACGAATTATACGAATCTCGCTGTGTGCGTCGCCGCTTGGTGTGCGGGGAAACAAAAAAAAAGGCACGAGTGAAATTCTTGTAATAAAAATCAATCGGAGCGGAGAGAGAAGGCGCCGCCGGGAGGGGCGCCGACTGGTCGGGCGCCCGAGTGCCTCCCTTCGCTTTCTCTACTCTGATACCTCTACAATTGTATAGTCTAACTACCCTCCTTGAACAATTACCAATCATATTCCAATGCCGTTCGCTTTCTTTTATGCGAGAATTTCAAGTCTTATGGGCTTTTGTTGGTAAAAACGATACAACAAAGCTCCCGTCCTCCATATCGAAATAACGAACCCGCCGCCCGCGTCGGGTCAGACGGCGCGCTCGGCCGGTTCCCCGGCAAAGAGGCGTTTGTTTTTATTTCTTTTGGCGCGGGAAAAAAAGGAAGCCAGCACGCGCCCGCCCTGCACCTCCTAAACATGCGCCACGCAGCGACGCAGACTCCGGCGGGTGTGTGCCGGATTCACTTTCGCCTGCGACATCCCGCCTCTCGAAGGTCACCGCGCTGTGTTGCTCATAGCCTAAGTACGTTGCATGAGTCGAGTCGAGCGGGCGCTTGCGGCGGCCTCCGCTGACCGACTAGGTGAGTTGACTGACGTTGACGCGTTCGCGTATGTCCTCCGCCGCTCTCCGTTTTGAATCGTCTTTCGCGCGCTAAGACTCGGATCGTACGCGGGCCGTTTTCCCGCGCAGACGTCGCCTCCGCGCGTCGTGCAACAGTGACATGGATATGACTGAGCAACGCGAGAGGGTTAACCGCGCAACTTTACATTCACCACTCGCCTCCGCCGCCGCTAGGCACCGCCGCCTGCCTCGCGATTGTACACCATGCCGCCGCGCAACAACGGCCCTTGTTCCGTGCAAGCATGCCGTGGGCATCGTCGAACTTTCGAGTTCGCGGCAATTTCGCCGCCTCCGCAAAGTTTCCGTCGAACTTAATACACTCGCGTCATAATATCGGCGCGAGGGAAAACAAACGGAATTAAAAAGAAGCGCGCGACGGGCCCGCGTCTCGCGCGCGAAAGAGACGGAATCAAGTTTGCACTCTTCATTTGTGCACCAATCGAGAAAAAATTCAATAAAGCCCGCTTCCTTTTGTCTAATTGCCTATGTAAACCTACTTATAATACGCTGACTGTTCGTTCCCTGCGACATTCAGAGGAAAAAATGGAGCATTACGTTATTGTTTCGCCACTCGGATGCGATTGTTCAAGTAAATTACTCTATAATAATTTCGCATAATCAGTAAAACTTTTAGAAATTACTATTAATTACTTTAATGAAATATATAACGGTATATAGTACGGATGAAGTGATTTGTGATTTTTATTAAACTTTTATTTTTAAATTGGTGTGTGCCAGGAAATGCCCGGCTACGGACCGTCTCAAGTAAAATGCGAGCCGCTGTCAGATGGAGAAGACAGCAATTCCCAGTTCGCAAATAGTTTTCTAACTAATCAGGTAATAACCATAATTATAATTCATCATAAACGAGAAAAATTACAGAATCACCACAGCTACTTTTCTTCAAACGATTTTTTCAAATGACTTTTTATCATGCGTTAACCTCGGAATACAAATATTAATTAAAAATATTTCGGAGGTGAAATACGTTATGATTTAAAAATTCCAGCGCAGTCTTTTTCAGAATAAATTTTCATATTTGCATTCCTAGTATCATCTATTAAAATCAATTTTGATTCAAAGAATCAAATAGAAATATCTAAGCAAAAAACGCATAAAGCTCATAATAAATTTTCACAAAATGCACGGAGCGATTCACAATTAAATATTTTAATATAAATTTCGAAACAAAAGTTTCACCAAAACATGTACAATTCAATGTATTTGTACCATTTAAATTAGTGTTGTTATGCCAAAAGAGTTAATTTTAAATCTCATGTAGTACCATCATCTTCGGACGCGAACTTAAAATAGAAATTTGGAGGTTTATCTTGAATGGTGGATGTGGCTCATGGGATCGCTCTCAAACCAAAAAGACACTTAAGGACTGATAGGAAAACTGTTTATTTCAACTTAAACATTTTGAAATTATTTTTGGACCAAACGTAATCATTACTGAATTTATATAAAATACAGGAGTTATGTCAGATAGCTATACATGTTACATCTTCAAACGATTTTTACGGAATCAATCAAATATGACACAATTCAGTCTGAACAAATAAAACTAACATTCTAAATTTAATTTAAAGTAATTCAAACATAATACATAAACCAAGAAGATCAGAGTTGATATCAAAAGAGTATGTATAATCTGAGATTACCAATCAACAGTTTACAGGCGAAACTTGCGAACCTTTGTTGCTCTCTTCTAATGTTCAGCCCATCCACTCTTTGATGTTTTCCAGCTCCATAAGTTTAGGTCGTCAAAGAAGAAAGTGTTCTTCTTTGAAGACCTCTCTTCAGAATTTGATCTCTCGAGGATCGACCGTGTCAAATCCTTTTGCATATGTTCAAAAAGAAGACAAAAAGTCTCACTATTCCCGATATAAGATAAGCTCTCTTTACGGTTGGTCCGATAGTCCCTGATAAGAAATATCGTTACTCCGATTTATAACTGATTATTTAAATCTGGTAGATTAGTACCTACTTACATCGACATAAGAGGATATCTTGCTATGACAGTGACATAAATAATTAAAAGCTTATGTTAGCATTATGTTAAGTATATTCAATAAGGGTAACTACCATTTATTATTAGGTATGTATTAGTTGTGTTAATTGATTAGGTGGCAAGGAAAATAAAGGCGTAGAATTTTGGGAGTGAAACTCATTCAACGGGACACGGAAGGAAATGTTTAGTTATCGTGGACTTGGTAATCCGTAATCTCAGCTTAACCCGCTAGTAAGCTTTTGGCATCCCTAACTATATGCAAGGTGATACTCGTCGTATCTACACGAGAGCTTTATTTGGATATTATTATTTATCTGTAGCACGGCGAGAAGAGTGTGCACATGACCTATACCTACAATAGAGTTTGTTTTACTCTTATCTGTCTTTATTTTTTAAACTCCTCACAATTCTGTTATGGCACTAATGGGCAGGCTCAATCGGGGAAGTCCCTCATAGAAGACTGGCGTGAAATGGAAGTGCTCATACTTTTGCTTGGTGACTGAGGTAATCGGTGCCCATTGTTTTAAAGATTCGGAAAGCATCTGCAACCAGAGTTGGTATCCATTGGCGGTGGTAATCACATAAGGTGAACTACATGCACGCTTTTTTACACAAACCAAAGTTTCCACAAGCTTCAAGCTTGTGAAGAAACCTCGTACAGTTTTGCATTTTCCGTCGCAATCCTCATAAGACTCGTGAGTTTGATACATTGACTTTTATACTTTTCTGCGATTTCGTATCACTCCACTAGGAAAAAAATATTATTCTTTAGTATATTAACCTGAATACTTTACGTTATTGTTTAACATAACTTTGAAGTTGAACAAGGCAAGAGTGAATAAGTTTTTACTGAGCTAGCGCGCTTACCTTCAAAGGCTGCATCGCCACTTACCATCAAGTGGGATGGCAGTCAAGTGCTGGCCAGTTTAAAAAAAAAGTTATTTCCAATGATTTTTTTTTAATTTGATTTGTTGGAGCATTCGCTGTATAACTAGATGATATCAAATAAATAAATTAGTACTCTAACTATCACGGTTCATGAGATACAGCCTGGTTATAGACGGATAGACAGGCAGACACAGACAGACAGCGGAATCTTTGTAATATGGACCCGTTTTACCCTTTGCCTACAGAACCCTTAAAAGAAGATACAAAGGGGTAGCAGAGCATATACGCCATCATTTTTCTTGACTTGTTCGCCAATTTTAGCCACGTGGCTAGTTTTTTTTCCGACATTTTCAAAAATTATCGTCATACTTCAGCCGATTTACAAAAGCCCTTAATTAATGATACAGCTTTTCATGAAATTTGGTAAAAACCATATGACAAACCGTTCATCGCGGTTAGGCGGACAAATAGACAAGCGACAGTTTTTATAATAAGCAGTGATGATAATATTTCCCACCAATATCAATGGAAGCATGAATAATGTGAAATCTTTTAATAATTATTATTTTGTTTTAGTTCCCCGCATCGGGATTACTAACAGTGAAAGTGGAAGCCGTGGACCAGACAGCAAAGCATGTACCCTCGCACATATTACGTCATATGCAGGTATTACTTACTTCACCATCCTTCTGCCCTTATCTTCGTAGGTGGGGTCGGGACAACACGTGAATCATATTACAAGCGGTTTTGGATATGTATTTTACGACCCGCCGCCCGCCTGACGTCCTTGGGAAACAAACACCCAGATCCGGAACAACTATCTATGGGTTACACAGATACTTGTTCTGTGTGGGAATCGAAGCGACGACCGCCGACGCCGAAGGCAATTACCATTTAGGCTTACCAACGGCTACCGAGTTATCGTAGGTATCGCACTTCTACCCCAGGAGGGTACCACCAGCATACAGCGCGGTGGAGAATCCCTCTCTGGACGTCCACGCGCAGGCCGTACAACGTCTGAGCGTGAATGCCCAGGCTGCCCTTCGTATTCTGGGGGGTGCAATTTTGCGCTCTCTATACCTGTTCGGGGCAAACGGAGCAGGCAACATAAGGCCACCTCTTCCTCGCATGCCGTGGACTTTTGCAACATAAGGGGGCTAAATTCCAACTTAAACGCCGTCCACTTCCATCTTGAGACGGCGAAGCCGGCCTTGCTCTTCCTTACCGAGACGCAGATATCTTCTCCAGCTGACACCTCATTCCTCTCCTACCCGGGGTACAAACTGGAACATTCCTTTGTGCCGCGGGCTGGGGTGTGCGTGTGTACGTCAGAGAGGATATATGCTCTCGTCGCCTCGATGCTCTTGAAGGACGGGACCTATCCATACTCTGGCTACGCGTAGACTGCGACGACCATCCGCGAATCTACGCGTGTCTGTATAGGTCCCATAGCGGTAATGCCGAAACTGACCGACTCTTTGAGCACATACAAATGGCTACAGATTCCGTGTTGCAGCAGATCCCATCCGCGGAGATCGTAATTCTCGCCGACTTTAACGCTCATCACGCCGAGTGGCTTAGATCTCGTACCACCGACCACGCGGGGAGATCTGCTCACGATTTCGCATTAACATATGATCTGACACAACTGGTTACCTCGCCAACGCGAATCCCGGAGCACAGTGCCAATAACGCGCTTAACGCGGCCTCACTTTGCGGGCTGCCGCCGCGTATGGCATTATAGGTCAGCAGATTGGGATGGGATGCGGTCATTCTTTGCGTCCTACCCATGGGGGCAGATTTGCTTCTCGCCGGATGATCCAGACGTCGTTGCTGACTCAGTGACTGATGTGGTGCTTCAAGGTATGGAACTCTTTATTCCGTTCTCTGCAGTGCCCATTGGTGGCAAGTCGCAGCCTTGGTTTGGTCGCTCCTGTAAGTTGGCATTACGCCGAAAGCGGGAATGCTACCAGGCTTGGGCTGACGCTTCGTCGTCTAGTGATGTAAAAACCAGCGCTTTAAAAAAGACGTATATAACTCTGCCTCTAGGTCCTTCAAAAGTGTTATTGCTAAGGCGAAATCGGAACACATTGGCAGAATTGGCGAGAGATTGGCGCGTCTCCCAACGGGAACACGTGAGTTTTGGTCTCTCGCCAAAGCTGTCTTGGGAAATTTCTGTAAGCCTTCTTTTCCACCCCTGCACACGGAGGATGACTCGCTGGCCCATGCCGCGAAGGAGAAAGCCGATCTTCTGGGCTCTCTCTTCGCGTCCAACTCGACTTTGGATGACCGAGGAAAATTACCACCAACAATCCCGCGTTGCGATGCTACGATGCCGGAGGTTCAATTTCGGCAAAGTGCAGTTCGCAGAGCACTCTTTTCCTTGGACATTCATAAGTCGAGTGGGCCCGATGGCATCCCTCCGATCGTGTTGAAGACATGTGCTCCAGAGTTGGCACCGGTTTTGACGCGTCTTTTCCGGCTCTCCTATACTCTAGGCGTATTCCCAAAAACCTGGAAGGCCGCTTTAGTGCACCCGATCCCTAAGAAAGGCAACAGCTCGGATCCGTCCAACTACAGGCCTATAGCCATCACCTCCTTGCTCTCCAAGATAATGGAGACCATCATTAACTGCCAGCTCCTGCGGTACCTAGAGGAGCACCAGCTGATTAGCGACCGCCAGTACGGCTTTCGTCGAGGTCGCTCAGCCGGTGATCTTCTGGTTTACCTGACACACAGATGGGCAGAAGCAGTTGAGAGCAAGGGGGAGGCGCTTGCAGCCAGTCTGGACGTAGCGAAAGCCTTTGATCGGGTGTGGCACAAAGCACTTCTTTCGAAGCTGCCTTCCTATGGGCTTCCCGGGAAGTTATGCAACTGGATCACTAGCTTTTTGGCAGATCGGAGCATCAAGGTCGTCGTCGACAGTGCATGCTCTGATCCTAAATTTGTCAATGCTGGTGTTCCACAAGGCTGCGTACTGTCCCCCACTTTGTTTCTTCTGCATATCAATGATATGTTGCAAATCAGCAGCGTTCATTGCTATGCGGATGATAGCACTGTGGATGTTTCGTACACAGGCCGTGCTAACATTTCTCGGGAAAACGTCTACGAGAGCCGGAAACAAACTTGTGTCTGAAGTCGAGACTTTGTTAACAAAAGTCTCAGACTGGGGTCGACTAAATTTAGTCCAATTCAACCCCGATAAGACACAAGTTTGCGCGTTAACCGCTAAAAAGTCCCCATTTGTCGTGACTCCTCATTTTGAGAACACTCCCCTGTCTGTCACAGCTAGTATCGGAATACTTGGCGTCGAAATCTCGAGCAATGTCCAGTTCCGCGGTCAATTTGAAAGTAAGGCCAAATTGGCCTCAAAGAAGCTCGGTGTGCTCAGCAAGGCGAGACAGTACTTCACGTCGGCTCAACGCCTAAACCTTTATAAGGCGCAAATTCGGCCCCACATGGAGTACTGCTCTCACCTCTGGGCGGGAGCCCCCTGTTACCAGCTTCTTCCATTTGACCGCATCCAACGTAGGGCAGCTAGGGTTATCGACGATCAAGGTCTTTCCGATCAGCTTGATCCTTTGGCTATGCGTAGAGATGTTGGGTCACTCTGCATCTTCTACCGCATCTATCACGGGGAGTGTTCCGAGGAATTGTTTGGATTGATCCCAGCGGCTGAATTTCACCATCGGACATCGCGCCAAAACCAAAAAATTTCATCCACACCACCTCGATGTCCAGCGTTCCACAACAGCGCGATTTTCAAGGCATTTCCTGCCTCGCACAACCACTCTGTGGAACCAGCTGCCGCCGGCGGTCTTTCCGAACCGTTACGACCTGGGAACCTTCAAGAAGAGAGCGTACTCATTCCTAAAAGGCCGGCAACGCATTTGTAAGCCCTCGGGTGTTGCAGATGTCCATGGGCGGCGGTGATCATTTACCATCAGGTGAGCCTCCTGCTCGTTTGCTGCTTTTTTCCCATAAAAAAAAAAAAAAACTTACATATGTTGTTAATAAATAAAAATTAATGTTGGTAAGCGCATAGCTCAAGAATGGCTGGACCAATTCGCCTAATTTATTTTTTTGTTTGTTCGGACGGAAGGTTTTAATACTATAAAAAAAAGAACGAATTCTCTCCGGGCAGCTAGTTACCGATAAATTTTCATAGACTCTATCTTTCCAAATTTACTTTATCTATACAATGTCTGTAAAAATAAAAAAATCTAAAATCAAAAATGTTGGTATCTGCAAAGATATACTGAGGTGACACTGAAGGTTTCGATGAAAATTGAAAAATCTCAGTGAAGATCTGCTCGAGGGACGCTCCTTCAAAAGCGACATCTGAGGATAATATCAGTGCTGTGCGACGCACGATAAAGAAATATACAAGAGCGACCTACCAGGAGATTTCGTCAAGCTTAGCTTATTACACGAACATTTAGGTTAGGTTAGGTTAGGTTAGGAAGCTTTGTACCGGATGGATTCTCCATACTTTGACCGAAGACCAGAAACGGCCTTCGCATCGATGGGTGTCGCGAAATATTAGAAAAGTTCAACGGCTCTAAGGCCTGTATTTGAGATCGTCACAAGTGATGAAGACAGGGTATGTTTCTTAGCATCGAAATGACAGTTTGTTCAGTGGTTGTTCTTTTGAGAATCGGCTAGCTGAAGTTAAGAACGGAAAACTGCAAACCGATATGGTTAATGTAGTTTGCGTGTTATTTTTGAAAATGTTCGACAGCAGCGTCCTCGAAGCAGGATTCTCCTTTGCAACGACAAAGCTTCACGGGACTCCACGAAACGAACAATTGAATATTTGACTGTGGCACGTGTCGAGATATTGATGCATCCGACCCGTCCCGATCTAGCACTTCAACTTTCATTTATTCCCAAGAATCAAAGATAAACATCGAGGTATTCCTTTAACCTGATAAAATCTGACGATTCATAAGAGCGCGCAAGCGTCTATTTGAATAAATATATTTTTGATTTTGATAACGAGCTCTGAAGTTGAGGTGAGAGCGTTCAAAAATGGCGTAGTAGAGATTCCTAAGGTAGAATGGGCCCACTGCTTCTTTCCGTGGTTCTATAGAACACGAAGACGAATAGAGAAACTACTTCAAATTACAATAAAAAGCAGTGGCTTACTACGCGTACAATAGTACAACAAAAATAAGATTATTGTTAAATTTCTCCGAAATTAAAGATGTAAGTTAATGAAAACAAACTTATTAGTTATCTGATCAAATTCGACTAGAAAATATTGTTCATAGCTCGTTCTCTTAGTTCAAATATTATTTTCTTCCTTTTCAATTTTCTGAATAAATTAGTTAAATAAAAACAGGTAAAAGGTAAAAGCTAAGGCATTTAAAATACAGTCCATTAAATTACAATATTTTTTTTATACACATTAAGTCGTAATATAAACAAACCATAAATAAAATTAGTATACAATGTAAAAATCTTTAATAACAAGAAATAAATTTATTGCGCAAATAAAACAAATTAACATAACATTACGAGCCGGATGGAAATTGCCGAGTTATTGTGTAAGGGATAATTATGATTATTTACAAGAAGTAGATAAAATTGATACGAAACGTTTAATAACACTGAAAACATTTATGAATACCTTAATTAATTGAGCGAGATTGTTATAAGGACAGTATTCTTCGATAATATGGTTATAAAGAGCTTATAACGAAGATATAAATCAAACATCCGTAAACAAATTGTGAATCGTAAGCATATACGACAACAAATGCTTACGACACACAAATTATTTGCATATTGGTAGTGATTGTGATTTAACACTACAATTGAGGAACTCTTCTTGCCAAAACCATATATTAGAAAACTTAAAGAATGTGGACGTAATGGAGAATGACAAAAAGTGGCCTAAAAATAGGATCCTAATACCTTATTTAAACACTCGATTTAAATGATTGAAAAATTTTTAAGTGTGAATTTAAATTTACTTATGGACGAGAAGAGATGTTGAATCGGTAACGCAGTTGCTAATATAAGCTTCGACGGCGAGAGGAATGGGTTTGATTGGCTTTACAGTTATCCTTATAACGGGGTGACAACGCCATCAAATAAAGATCAAGCAATCTGCAGCTTTAAAGCAATTTAAACAGACAGCTATTTTAGGTGAAAAGTTGCCAAGGGAGCAGGCGGTTCACCTGATTTTAAGTGAATACGGCCGCCCATGGAAATCTGCTACACCTGAGGGTTACAGATGCGTTGACAACCTTTTGGAATTTGGGCTCCGGCTACCTTACTCACCAGACGAAACGCGAAAGTATTATGCTTCCACTGGACACCGGTCTTCTGTGTCTTTTAATGTAGTACGTTCATCATAGTAGTTTAAAATCGTTGGCTGCATGGTAAATCAACTGAAGCTTTGTTCGCCCGCCCAGGTCGATGAGGTCGATGAGTTGGAGCTGACGCCACCTGCGCCGGCCGCGCCTTCGGCAACCCCCGTGTGCGCGCGCCGGGTGCCCCCACCCAGGGCTTCGCCAGAGACCCTGGAGACCCTCGAACCAGCGCGCGCCTCGACGGTGAGCCGTATTTCACATTCTCATTTTAAAGAGAGACCTTTGAGCAAGCTTTTCTCTTGCTGCTGAATAACCTACATTTTATTAAAACTAACTGGTGTATTTTAACAAGGTTTCGTGGCTTGGGATCCGATTAACAATAAAATGATATCCAAATCTGAAACAACACAGGCAACTAACACGCCGCGTTAAAAGAGTACGTACAGGCGCAACAACACTGTAAGACTTCACAACTTGTTAGCGTTTGCTGCGTGGATCGAAATAAAATTAATCATTTTCGAGCTGACGGTAGCCCTAGTTCGGTTGTATTCCAGTGCGTAACGACGTCCATTTGAAAGGTCGGCTATTTGATATTAAATTGAACCCTGATAAAATCTTAAGTTTGTTTTATTAAAATGTACAAATAATATTCACGTAAAGAAAAGAAGTTATTATTATAACCTATGTTATTCAATATAATAGTACGTACATTTTATACATATCTTTACTACATTGAAGTACTTTACGCGGTTCTTTCGCGCGGTTGTTCTATTTCCCGTTCCAAATGGAAAGATGTAGATTAAAATTAAACTAAAGTAACTAATTAAATAATAATTTAATTAACATAATTTTTTTTCAAAATATGCAGGTCTCCTCACAATGTTTATCTTCACCGACGTGCAAAATTAGTACTCATGTATAATCGCGTTTAACAATTTTTGGTACCAGCACCGGAATTTCAGCTCGCATAGCACAAGTATATTGAATTAAAAGAGGCCTGGACACTTAGCTAGGTGAGGCTACTCTTTTAAAATAAAAATAAAAACAGCCAAGTGCGAGTCGTATTCGCGCACGAAGGGTTCCGTACCATTTTCTATAAAAACGGCAAAAAATCATGTCTGTTGTATGGAATGGAATCCTCACTTAAATATTTTTTATTATTTGTTTTTCAGTATTTGTTGTTATAGCGGCATCAGAAATACATCATCTGTGAAAATTTCAACTGTCTAACTATCACAGTTCATGAGATAGAGCCTGGTGACAAATGGACGGACAGACAGACAGACATATAGCAGTCTTAGTAATAGGGTCCCGTTTTAACCTTTGTTTAATCCTAAAAATTGGGAAAGTATTTTGCGTCGTGCGTTAAGTTTACGAAAAACTTTGTTAATTACATAAGTATGTGCAATTTGTATCAACCTAACTCTGTTGGTGAAAACTGTTAAACAGAAATTTGAAACTATGAAAGCTTTAGTAAATCCTACGAATTGTAAGCGATGAATTATTGCCAGGGTATTTTTTAACCAGCCGGAAAAATGTCGAATTCACAGGGCACCACATTGCTGGACCGTCGAATGCAGATGCTGGACCCTGGCGATGACTTCGGCCCCCTGCTCTCGGTCAAAGACGAGCCCCTGTCGGAAAGCGGTGAGTGACGACCTCACACAATATATCACCGAGTATGTTTACACTTTTAGTTTTTTCTATTAATAAATAGAGTTTATATAATAATACGGTTTCATATACAAAAGTGTACAACTACAGCTTTGAGTTGGTGAATTGATGAAATCCTGAAACTTTTGAATCGTATTTTTTTTATTTTGTGTAAATCAGGTGCCGGGTAATCGAAAAAGTTAATGGAAAACATATTACAGTTATAGAAAGTTAGATTACTTTAATTTTTAAAAGAAATAAACCTAAAAATACCCACTAGTAACTTAATCTAACCTCAAAGCCTACACTTGTTCAATTAATTGCGGTATCGCGTGGCACCAGCGTCGCTGAGGGTCCACGGCAGCTCTTTCCCATGTTATCAGCAAAAAACAATCTAAATTCTTCTGATCGTACTAGCTACCGATCGACCCGAGGTCCGGTCTTCTCAAATCGGAATACTAAACGGTCATTGAATAACAGCCCAAGTACCTTTGCGCCTAGGTACTCCACGGAGCGTCCGCCAAGGTGACCTAAGAGCTTGGCCTCCCAATCCACACAATCACATTAATATCAGTATTAAGCCGAGCCCCGAGTTTAGTTACTCATAAACGAGGTTTAGGTTAGGCGCCCTGCCAATAGTGTATGTATAGTTGTTGCAGGGATGTGGTACCTATATCTCTATTGCGCATATAAGATAAGATAAGATATTCATTTATTGTCTTAACTGTTACAATAGGTGTTACATATGACTTGCAGGATATTAGATTATAACGACGGTCTGTCACTTACGCTCGCAGTTTATTATTCTAATATATACTATTGTTCAACGATCTTACGAAACAATTTTAATGATTCCGTGGCGTAGTTGCCAAGGTATTGGCTACGGCGTCGGGGGTCGAGGGTTCGATTACCACACGGAACAACTATTTGTGCGACCCACAGATAGGCATTGTGCATCGTGAAATTTGTGTTTGTAAAATGTCATTACAACACAGGAAAATATTATCCTAAAGTAAGGGCAATGTTTTTAAAAAACTAAAAAAAAACTAAACAGAAAAAAAAAAGACCCCATCGTGTAAATGTTAGAAGTATACCTACGGTCGCCGCATGCTTAGCAATAGTACATATAGAATATTATCGCTCTATCGACGGTGAAACAACGGTGCGCCCTTCGTGAAACCAGAGCAGCAGCAGGCGAGCGACGACGCCAGCGAGTGCGGCGCCGGCGGCGAGGGGGAGTCCCGCGGCAGCCCCAAGAGCTGGTCGCCGCGGGACATGGAGCGGGCGCTGCAGGCGCTCAGGGACCGCCGCATGAGCCTCACCAAGGTACCCGACACGGAAAACTGACACACGAAAGTTAAAACTACACTTGTACATAGTTGGACTGTTGCTTCTGAATACATTTTTGAAAGTATTATGTACGTCCGTAAAAATGCGGATAAATAGACAAAATAATGACATAATAACGTTCATGATATAAATACTAGGAACAAACATAGATTGATCCTACCCACAAGTAGAGTGCGTAGAATAAGTTAATTTTTTATGGGACAATGTGTACGTTTCTACAACAAAGTCCCAGAAAACGTTTAAAATGCTTCAATAACTATATTTAAAAAAGTGGTAAAAGAACGTTTGCGTGTCAAAGGCTATTATAATATTAATGATTATTTAAAATTTAAAGGATAATACACTTTGGTAATGAATTGATCGCTCCAGGCTCTTTCAATCAGAGTTTTTATATTTATTTATAATATATTCATGTCACATCGTTTATGTCAAAAAATAAAAAATAAAATCCCGCGAGTGCGATGCTCCTATATTGAATAACGATATTTGATTTGATTTTGAGTAAAGTAAAGTAACTCTATACATGTCCCACTGTTGGGAAAAGGCCTCCTTTGAACAGAGCGTATCAGGGCATAGACCACAATACAGCCCTACTGTGCACTGAAAATATGCAGGTTTCCTAATGATGTTTTCCTTCACCGCAGAGCGCGTGATAAGTCACCAATTGAAATGAACAATTTCATTGGTGCCAGGCACCGGGGATCGAACTCGGGTTGCTTGACTATATTGAAGGCGAGCGCCCGGACACTGAGCTATCACGGCTCTCACTTATATATCAAGCTTCAAAACTAACCTCTTTCTCCCACCTATACCTAGTGGAGTTCGACACAACACGTCAATCATGTTTTTAATGTTACTTGTTATGTTTTTTACGTTTGGCCGTCTTACGCCCAGATCCGATAGTAATAAATATCGCATTGAGACATTATATTTTTTAAAACTACTGATAAAGAATAATTTTACGCTATTTTTAATGTAAAATTTGAGTTGATTTTGACATAAATATTAGCAATGATCACTAGTATTTCTCGTATGATCATCACTGCTACTCGAAATAGTTTTTATATAGATGAATAAATATAAAACGGGAAATTTATTAGTAAATAAAAAAAGTAAAACATATAGGTGATGATTTTATGCAAGAATGTGGCAAGTGATAACCGCCGCCCATGGACATTTACAACACCCGTAGGGTTGCTGATGTGTTGCCGTCTCTTAAAATTGGCTCGACTACCCCACTCACCAGACGAAACGCACAAGTATATTATAACATTCCACTTGGCGTCGGCCTTCTGTTAGGTCGTGGTAGTTCTCCGGACGGACCTGGCAATTCGTGCGACAGCGGAGATTGTTGCGTGGCCCTACCATCGTAATAATAATTATAACGAGCGGATAAGATATAATTGCGTGGCCGTATCACAGAAAAAAATGTGAACGCTCTAGTCGCCGCACTATTGTTTTCATCGGAGCTAGTTTGGCTCAGGCCCGGCTTAGTCACATAGCTTCGTAACTTTCATAACGACTTGTAGATAAATACGGATAGTGAGTCAGTAGTTTTTGCGTTCGTTTTATCTACGAGTGGTTGCGAAAGCTGCGAAGCTGTGTGAGCAAGGGGCGAGTGCGTGGGCGCAGGCGTCCGCCCTGTACGGCATCCCGTCGACGACGCTGTGGCAGCGCGCGCACCGGCTGGGCATCGACACGCCGAAGCGCGACGGCCAGCCGCGCCGCTGGGGCGAGCCCGAGCTGCGGGCGGCGCTGCACGCGCTGCGCGCCGGCACGCTCTCCGCCAACAAGGCCAGCAAGGCCTACGGTCGGTCGCCCAGTGACAACTCGCTGTGTCCGCTTCACTCCCCGCTACCGACAATTACATACTTTATACATTACTAGCGAATTTCTTCTTCTTCTACTGAATCACTCTATTTAGTATAGAAATCAGCATCAAACTCCGGTTGCGTAGTTTTAAAGATCAAAGCATGAATAGCGACAGACAGCGGGACGGCCTTGTTTTATAGTATGCAGTGATACTATATTCTACAGTCTTCTGCCTTGAATTAATTCCGGCTATTGCTAGCGGACCGTCTAGCATTCTCAGGGGTCGGTCCATTGGCCCTCATGTCCTCTTTCACGACATCAAGCCATGGCTTCCTTGGGCGCCAAGCGGTCTAACTCCTGGGATAGATATATGAAAGCATATCCTTCTTGTTCTATACTATGTTGTGTTAAAGAGGAATCTGATGACACACGCACGTACATATCTTAATTGGCCTTTAATTTTATTAAATTTAATCAAACAATGACTGTTCTAGCTGTAAGTTTTTCAAAAATATCCTTACTAATATTATAAAGGCGAAAGTTTGTATACGTATGGATGGATGTTTGTTACTCATTCGCGCAAACACGATTGAGTGCGTTTTAATGAATGTTTTGACGATTGAAAGGCTGCAATTATATAGATATTTCTACGTATATCAGTCTGTGCGTGAGAAGGTTGCGCTAAAAGGGCTAACGCGAGAGCGAGGTGGGCGCAGGCATCCCCAGCAGCACGCTGTACAAGATCGCGCGGCGCGAGGGCATCCGGCTGGCGGCGCCGTTCAACGCGGCGCCCACGGCGTGGCGGCGCGCCGACCTGCAGCGCGCGCTCGCCGCCATCCGCTGCGGCGCCGCCTCCGTGCAGCGCGCCGCCGCGCACTTCGGCATCCCCTCCGGTGCGCCCCTCCTACCGCTCTTCCTCCGACAAATACGTTCTTAATGCTATATTGCATTCTCTACCGGCTAACCCTAGGTAGAACGGAGACATACTGACAAGGGCGGTAAACTACTTGTAATCGTTACATAATCAAAAAAATAATAATTCATAATTAGGTTAGAAATCTAAAAACTACCAACATAAACATACGTAGATGAGTATACTTATATGTTCACACATACACAGTAAATATACTTAAGTATTCATATTATATATAACTAACCGAATAACATTTATATATGTATATATACCACATGCTCGTATTATAGAGATGTGGTATATATATGTATATATACCACATCTCTATTAAGGTAGCTAAGACTTAGCAAGGATATGCTCAAACAATTTCACGACGGAGTATGCTCCGAGTTGGTGTATCAATCCCATCCGACAACATACAGCCTCAGTAGTGGAATAGTGTTCGATACCTATTTAAAACATCGTTTCAAGAACACATTCACTTAAATAATTTTTAACTTCTTGATCTGTACTTCGAGAGAATTAGATTGAATTGTTTGACATATTGACTTTAATATAACTATCCTAACATAATCTAACGACTTGTAAAGACTCACTTTATATCTCAAATGTTTATGAATAAAGTTGAAGGTGTATAATGGTACCAGGTACCCTGTATGGGCGGTGCAAGCGAGAGGGCATCGAGCTATCCCGCTCCAACCCCACGCCCTGGTCAGAAGACGCTATGGGCGAGGCGCTCGAAGCCGTCAGGTCTGTTCACAATTTGATTCAAAAACGTGCAATAAAAACCTAACTGTTCTAAATTCCTAGGACTGCGATCTGATCTTGCTGCGCTTTGTAATCACAGGTTATTCTTTATTAAACATGTCCTTTACTCAAACCTGGATAGAAAATAGATATTCAGAAAATTCCATTTCCTCTGAATTGAGAAATTGTAGTAAATTTTATGAGTTATATGTAAGATGTAATCACACGGCACACAGGGTTGGCCAGATGTCCATAAACCAGGCGGCCATCCACTACAACCTGCCCTACTCCTCGCTCTACGGAAGGTTCAAGCGGTGCAAATATCAGACGCAGGTTAGTCTAAACGACTACTAACTTTTTTAATATTATTTTATATTACTTATAGGCCGATTATCACTTTACAATAAACAGGACCGTGCTGTAATAGCTTCCAAAAAAAAACTCATGTTACCAGTTTTTATTCTACAAAAATACGTTGATTCAAAGTTTAAGTCAAAATTTCATTATACTATATAGGTAGGTTTGTTCTAAGCTTTTATTAAACGTCAAAAAACTACCACCAGTTCACTAAACTAGACATCCCCATAGAAGATCTGATACGAAACTCTCCGGACTTACCTTTTTTTTTCAATGATAGAAGTATACAAAATTAGTTAGCTATGAAATCAGCAGTAGCCAAAGGACTTACAAGTGCAGAGCAAGAGTAATTTCCACACATCTCTGAAAATATCATAATTATCAACGTTTTACATTAACAGAGGTAACCAAAGTGGAGGACATTATCCAACGACCTCTTTCCATAATAGAATGTCCTCTCACTGGATTGTACAGCTGTTTTTACAATAGTACTAGCGACCAGCTCCGACTTCGCACGGGTGCAATTCTGAAACTAAATATACTCTACTATGTTTTCCACTATATTATGCATGTATTATACACATAAACCTTCCTCTTGAATCACGCTATGTTAAAAAAAAGCACCGTTGCGTAGTTTTAAAGAAAATAAGTTTTATACTATGTAGTGAAGATGGGTCTAAATGTGATCGGGTCGCAGAGCATGGCGCCGGAGGGCGGGTCCCCGGAGAGCGCGGAGGGGCAGGGCGCGGCGGGCTGGTGGGGCGGAGGCGCCGATGGCGCAGTCCCGTGCAGCCAGCTGCTGGCCGAGGCGCAGACGCTGCTGCACGAGCAGTACGGCCAGCACGCGTACGGCGCCTACAGCGGCCTGGCCACCAGCTGAGCGCCCCGACGAGCCCCAACCGAGAAGTCGCCTTGTATGGCCACAGATGGGACGTTACAGTCGTCGGATACAAAAAGCACAAAGAAAAGGATGTCGATCTTTTCTCTTCAATATATCGAAGCCGATTTTGATATTTTCATAAATATCGATATATTGCTCCACTTTCGACATCCCTACTTTACACGACCTAAATCATAGTACAGCCTTATTCTTACACATGTGGGATTATTAGTAGAATGGACACTGCATAGCGTTGCTTTTATAAATTTTACTTTTTTGCTTGTGGCGTATTATAAGAGCTATGGGACGTAAAAGCGCTTTTGTTGTGATTACTACTGGAGAAAAGACACCTATTATATTAGCTCTCTACCAAATTTTCCCTACCATGATCTTCCTTTTCACTACTTTTTTGGGCTGCACCTAAATGCTTTGCTGGAGATGAATGTCCAAACTACTTTTCATAATCGCCGTTTCTTTTTCCATTTAGTATCAATTTGTCACGGTATTTTTCTAACTCATATTGTTGGACCTGTTTAAGTTGCATTGTTTCTCCCACTTCATAATCACGGGTTTTTACTGAATTACATGCCGAAGTCTATTAACACTCAATATTATTTATTGAAACTAGATTATAAGTATAAAGTAGTGCCTACTTTTCTTCGAAGGAATAGAAAGCTCGATAAACGCATTTATGGTTCAAACGTATGCTCACTCCCGAGAATCATGAAACAATATAATTATATCATGGAACTTTTATTATCAGTGGCTTACACTGATTTCTTTCACTATTTTATTTACTTTTCAATATAATATAAGTTTTTTATTTTCCCCCAGCGAACTTTTTTTTGTTTGTAACTTTGTCTTGCGGCGGTGGTGTGCTATGTCTGAACTTAATTTCGTCTGTCCTGCGGCGTTTACTCTGTGGGAGTGAAAATCAAAAGTTTATTTGTGGATATTACGAAAAGTAATAAAAATTTGATCAAACAAATTTGAGCAGATTAAGTAAATAACGTGATAATTACAATTAGCATATTGTGTCTCAAAGGGTTAGTGACGCTTTTATTATTTTATATAATTTAAGTAGGCATCTTTACGGTAGTTACGTAGACAGCTAGATTATGAAAAACTACCATATGCCGTAGCTCTTAGGTAGCGGTAGGTTAGATGACGAATACAATATTATGATTAATATTAACTCCGTGCCATATTTAGTCCCTAAATCTGTACTAGAAGAAAGTATATTTTTTGAGGAAAATAACAATTACAAAATTTCTGGTATGTGTTGCGATGAATACTATTAACTTAAGCGTTTAGTATATACCCGAGAATTCCTTTTTTCCATAGGTTTTCTTTCTTCAAATTTGCAGTCCTCTAATAGGATTCATTAAAATGCAAAAATATTTCGTTTTCCGTTTTAAATCGACTTCCGGTACGGATCGAGTTGTCTTTGCCTCATATACTCATATTACGATTAATGGAGACTACTAACATTGGCGGTAAAGTTTTTCTTTTTAAAATTGATAGTTAGTTTTTTAACAGTTTAAAGCGAAAGATATAATATTATGATTGTAATTGTATGTTTAGTTTCAAGGTATATTAGTGAGCATTTTGAGCTTTTAGTGCTCAATTTCTGTGGATGAATAACGAAATACGTAAAGTGATAGTGATAAGATAAAATACGTAATTGTGTGATAGTGTAAGTTTAAATTTTGTCCATAATTCAATTGATGTGCTTGTGCACTATTATAATAAGTGGAGTGTGTATATTATGACTTTTTTATTTCTTATGATGTTATTACAAAAGAATTATGTTGTTACAAAATATCAACTTTACACCATTTTGTTTCACATCAACAATTAATGTAAGTATCGTTATAAGTTCCCAAAAAACAGACTACAATTTTTTTTGAATCAGGGTTTTTTAATCAATATTATCGTCGTGTCTTACGTATACAAACATTTTTAATCATAGAGAGAGAACCCTATTAAACAAGTAAAATTTCAAAATAAAGAAGTAAGTCACCAACATTTAGATTGTGAGTAAAACTAAAATTAATTGTTGTTCATATTAGGAGCGTCTTTTTTATTTAAAAATCTAAAAATACCCAAATAGACTTTTCATCAATTACGTAATATTCTTAGACGAATCGATTCAGTTTTTTTTAAACAATCAAATAGTCTACGCATTATGAACAAACTCAGTAAATTGGTGTGTCTCTTTTATGTAAATATAATTATTGTAATAATTGTAATAGCTATGATTAATGCATGTATGTAGGTATGTTCTTTAATTTTAATTTGTGTTGTTTACTTCATTTAGCCAACTGTTAATATTAAAACTGGAGGACAATTTTCAAAATAGCAATAATATTTTTCTGTATGATATAAGTACATTTTCTTAATATAAATTATAAAGTGGTGTAACAAACTTTAATTCATTTATTTATTTGAAACCTGGAGAAAAAGTGGGATCTTTTTAAGATTCCGCAACCAAAGGATAAAACAGGACCCCAATAACTAAGACTCCACTGTCGGTCTGTTACCAGGATGTATCTCATGAACCGTGATAGTAAGACAGTTAAATCACAGACGTTATATTTCTGTTGCCACTATAAAAGCAAATACTAAAAAACAGAATAAAAAAATATTTAATTGGGGCTGCCATACAACATATATGATTTTTTTGCCGTATTTATAATGGTACGGACCCCTTCGTGCTCGAGTGCGATTCGCACTTGGCCGGTTTTCTTTATTTTTTTCATTTTTCTTGATTGGACTAAAATTCTTAAAAAAATAATTTACTATTATTTATAGTTGCCCTGGATATCCAAAAAGTAGATAGGATAAAAATAAAATGAACACATTAATAATGATTTAAGACATTGTTATACTCAGAAAAACTCAGTACTATTGAAAATGTTATTAGTTTATCAAAAGTTTTAACTGTGGGATGCAGAGGTGGATTATCCTTAAGGCAAACTAGGCATCTGCCTAGGGGCGCGAGGGTACCGAGGGGCGCGCGGGCGGAATTCTTAAATAAAGAAAAAATATATAATATAGCATAAAATTAATTACGCCAGTAATTAAGCCATCTTCTTACACAATGAAAACTATTATTATTGCTTAGAACCTCAAATTGCTTCAATCTATAACAAAAGATAAATTTAACGGAAGGAACTGACTAAAACTTACGCCAACAAACAACAGATAGTACATGATCTCTAATTGAAGTTGGAAAGATACGACTACAATGTACGTCGCGTCGACCGCGACTAGTGAGTATCCGTTTTTTTTTCTTGGCAGGGTTTACTGTTGGCCTTAGGGGACTAGATCCGCCGGACTTGAGGTGGCCGGGCGCTCGGAGCGCCTAGCCTGAACCTCGGCGTATTATTATTACGCGTTATGGTGACTAAGCTCTCGGGCGGTCAAACTATTATTATCATTATCGGTTTGGGAGGCCACCAAACTCTTAGGGCGCTTTGGTGGACGTTCCATGGAGTGACTAGGCTCACGGACCCCAAGACCTCGGCTTTTTTTAATGTGAAATGTTTACAAGCGAGCAGACAGTTCACCTAATGCTAAGTGAATACCGCCGCCCTTGGACATCTGCTACACCCGAGGGTTCCAGACGCGTTGATAACCTTTTGAAAATTGGGCTCCGGCCACCTCACTCACCAGACGAAACGCGAAAGTATTATACTTCCATTCTACGCCCGTCTTCTGTGAGGTCGTGGTACTTACCCGGACGAGCCTGCCCATTCGTGCAACAGCCGAGGCTGCTGTTTGGCCCTACCACCCTAGAATGCTTGGGCTGTCACTCAATACCCGTTTAGCATTCCGATTCGAGGTGCCTGAGAGGGGCGGATTTTGGCTCGATCGGTAGCTATAGTCTGACTGGGTGTGAGTGCGACAAGGGTGCGGCGCCAGGGCGGGAGCTAAGCGGTCAGGCGCGAAAAAATGACTGGAAAGTGACACGACGCTCAACTTTTTTGTCATTGGTTACGCGCGTTTTTCAGCCCCTCTTACATTATGCAAGTTTCTTGCCTGTTTTATACAATTATATTGAAGCAATAAATGACTTGCAATGAAATGGCTTGGGAGCGATCAACTCCTTCCCAGGGGTTATTGTCATGAATGTATACGTTTATATTATAATTACCTTGTTTATAAAGTTTTTCTTTAATAAATTTCTTAAACCTGTTGTTAGGCAGGCTTTGCGCATTTTGTTGTAGAAGCGTATACATCGCCCCATGAACGAGTTACTTACTCTATGGAGTCTAGCAACTGGCGTTACAAACTTGTATTTGTTCCTAGTATTTACATTATGACCATCAATATTCTTATCAAAATATTAATATTTCAACGTACATACAGTACATTTTCATCTATACAGGGTGGCTTTTCTAAAGGTGCCCAAATTCACACAGGAGGTTCAGACTCGGTAGTTTAATCGTTTATTAAAATAAAAACAAACTTTTTATTCAAAAAAAAATCCCATTCTATTCCCTTTGGATTGTCGGATATATGGGAGCCCCATATATCCAAACCCCATAGTTTTGCATCAAGAGTAATTTCAAGAAGACAGAGTAACAGTACACAAGAACAAAAGAGAACAAGAGTAACAGTCATTTCCACAAGGGCTAACTCTTTCCCATTCATTAGAACATTGGTAGCTCCCAAATGTTTAACATTAGGTGTTAAAAGTTTTTTACATTTAGTTGCCATTTAATAGTAAATTGTTAGCATTAAACCAATGGACTATTTCTGACATAGCATTATTTACCTCGTTAAGAGTAACAAGAAGTCGATCGATTTTAAAAATTAATGAAGTATCATTGGCAGATAACACTCAGTCATGTTTATTCCCTACAAAGTAAGGTAGATTGATGTAGATGAGAAAAAGAAATGGGCCAAAAATCGAGCCCTGTGGAACGCCCATTGACATCATCGAGCCAGAAGAACTTGCACCATTTATTACATCTTTTTGGATTCTATTACATATTATGACTTAATAAGGTCAAGCGCGGTACTTGTAATGTCATAATGGTGTAATTTCCTGATCAATGTCTTATGATTGACGCAATCAAAAGCCATTGAAAGATCACAAAAGACACTCAGAACATCCTGTGAACTTTCCCAAGCTTCAAATATTTAAATAAATAATTCGTTACTTGATTTTTTTTTAATAAAAGGGCCTGAAATATATAGGGAATTTTATGATTATGGGGTTTACATGCCAGTCGTATCTTACATCTTTAGTATAGGGGCGCCGATGAGATGCTTGCCTACACTCAACGTTTAATCCGCCTCTGGTGGGATGGCCACGCAACTGTTGCACGAATGAGTAGGTCCGTCCGCATAGGTAATACGACCTCAGAGAAGACCGGCGTAAAGTAGAAGTGTTACACTTCAGCACTTCTGGTGAGAGGTAACCGGGGCCAACTTTATTTAAAGGTGGCAACGCATTTGCATTGGGTGCCGGATATCACTTAACATCAGGTGAACCCCTAGCAGGTTTGCATTACATTCTCACATAAAAAAAAATAAAAATAATTTTATTACTTACTGGGTTTAAGCAGATTGATTTGGATCATTTCAATATTTTCATGTCGTGTACTAGGTTTTAAACGAATTTTATATTGTAGGCATAGACTAGAACAATCAATGCAGAACATGCTTAAAGATACAACCAATATAATAAACAACGCACGGGAAATCAGTGTTGTTTAATTGTAAAATCATTTTAAACAGAGTCGATATATGCCAGAATAAATAAAAAATACGATGCTTGTACATAAAAAAGTCGATTTATTCATTATCTACAGTTAAGATATAAAATAAATTACATGATCATTTCAGTATTTCGGCAGCGGAGTCCTTTTTGTATACATGTACATCCCACTTCTCGTACAAAGTAACTATAAACATAAAATCAGTATTGCACGCCGTACTTCGTAAGCGAAAAATATAATACAGGTTGTAGTGAATTCAATTTAAATTATCATAATTTCAAATCTTTGAACCGCTATTTAAAACAAAACCAAAACAAGTTACCAAAGACTTATCTATAAAATACATAGTTTCAACTACTCGTCAACAATTGTTAGCCGTATACAAAATTTAGCACAGCGCCATCTACTTATAATGTATAACATTATTAGTAAGTTACTCGCTAGATGGCTCTGTTTACACAAAGTTTCCAATTACGTACAAAGATACACGACAACGAAAGTTAATTCGTTATTATTACAATTAAAATGACTATTAAAAAGTAATGAGGCGTTACATACACGAAGAAAGCCCTATGTCTCAACATACATCAGTAATTTATTTTATTGTCTAATACAAATTTGAAAATGGCAGTGAATTAGCGTTATCCAAGTAAGCGTCTATTGCGTGCCACCTTCAATGAAATGTGAGAGTATACAACTACGAATTTATAAAATGTTAAATTATGTCCATTTACATTGAAGGTAGCGCGGATAGGCGTTCCATATAAAATATTTTACTGTTACACATGTCAGGATAATATTATTACAAATTTTGGCAAGATACTTTTTTTTATTATTTCCATACATAATCTCTAATCTGGCTTAAATAGGAATAAAAAGATAAGGGCACAGCTGTAACTTAGGGGCTAATTGAAAGTATGCTAGGTATGATTTCGCGTGGTTTCGCTCCTAAAACCTACAGCTATCTATAATATTTGACGTAGACATTTAATTATTAACAAGGGACTTGGGAGGAATGATTTTAGGGCAATATTGTCTGTAAACATATTTACATCTGGAATATACATTGTAAGTCAGTCGAACTTTTAATTAGACTGTTCTAAACGCGACAATGGTGACAGGGTTAAGAATCAAATATTTTGAATCTAATAGAACTTTATATTTATTAAAATGGAAACTCTTAGCAGTTTCACCATTATCGCGTAGGGATTATCGTGACTTTCGAATCGTTCTAATTTTAACTTAGGTTTCATCATAGACGTGTGACGACTATACTACAATATTATGTCACATACGCCGCGACACATCTTCGGCTGTCGTTCGCCTAGCATTAGGATAATTAGTAAGATTAATTTAGAGTAACCGAGAAGCGATGCGGGCTCGGACGCCGCGGCCGTACACTTTACACTTACATCTAGTTACGTATATGTTGCGCGTCGCGGCTCGTTTTACGCAGGGACTAGACAACGCGCGACGCTCACTCCACCACTTCACACCATCTCACTTCATCGACACTAGTTCGGATGGATATATCACAAAGCGCAAATGTTGAGGTCAGTTCGTCTGTCATCGACGCGGTCCGATAGCGTTCGCGTTGTATTAACGTCCATAATTATGTGAGGGGGGTCGGACCGGTTCGTTCGGCTCCAGGATTCTCGTGTTGGGAGGCGGGCAGGTGGTACATTGGGCGACTAAACGGGGCCGTAGTCGGAGAGGGGCTGGCCGGAGCGCTGGGAGGGCGCGCCGGGCGCGGGGGGCGCGGGGGGCACGAGAGGGGGCACGAGGGGCGCCAGAGGGGGGCGCGTGGGGCGGCGGCGGGCGGCGCGGGGGGCGCCTGGGGCGGCACGGGGGGCGCGTGGGGCGCGGGGGGCGAGCGTCACACGCCGCCCTTGGGCAGCGCGCGGTGCGGGGCGCGCGGGCCGCGCCACACGCGCCGCCACGAGTCGAGCGTCTTGCCGGACCAGATCCAGACGCCGGAGGTGATGCCCACGGCGAGCGCCATGAAGTACTTGAGCATGAGCGCCGAGTAGAGGGGCCTGGGCCCGCAGGAGGGGCCGCACGCGACGCGGCGCAGCCAGCCGCCGCGGCCGCCCGCCTCGTAGGCCAGGCAGCCAATCACCACGCCCGCCGGCACCGCGTACAGCACGCTGAACACGCCGATGCGGATCATCAGCTTCTCCAGCTTGTCCGCCTTGGAGCCGGCGCCGATGCCGCCCTGCCGCTTGATCACCGACCGGATGCGGAACAGCGACACGAAGCCGGCCATCAGGAAGGTGGCGCCCAGCGCGAAGTACACGATCAGGGGCGCGAGCACGTACTTCTTGAGGTTCTCCGGCGACGAGTTGCCCACGTAGCAGATGCCGGCCACCGGGTCGCCGTCCACCGCGCCCGCCAGCAGCACCGCCACCGTCTTGGCGGCCGGCACCAGCCACGCGGCCAGGTGGTAGTACTGCGCGTGGCCGGCGATCGCCTCGTTGCCCCACTTGAGCCCGGCCGCCAGGAACCACGCGAACGAGAGCACCACCCACCAGATGGAGGAGGCCATGCCGAAGAAGTAGACCAGGATGAAGACGAGCGTGCAGGCGCTGGGCCCGTTGGCGGAGGTCTTGATGACGGCGCCGTCGCACGCGATCTCGTCGTGGCCGAGCACGAGCCGCGCGAGGTAGCCGAGCGCCACCATGAAGTAGCACGCGGAGAGGTAGACTATGGGCCGCTCGGGGTACTTAAAGCGCTGCGAGTCGATGAGGAAGGTGGTGAGGGTCATGAGCGTGGAGACGGCGCAGAGGCCGCTCCAGAGGGCGACCCACACGGCGGCGAACTCCTTCTCCTCGCGCGTGAAGAAGGCGCCGCGGCAGGGCGTGGCGCAGTTGGCGAGGCCGGCCGCGCTGGCGTTGTGCGCGCGCACGCTGACGAGCGGCGGGCGGCAGGCGCACGCGCACTCGCCGCCGCCGCCCGCGGGCGCGCCCCCGCCCGCCGCAGCCGCCCCGCCCTCGCAGTTTTTTGGGTCCTTGCAGGGGCGGGGCGGCCGGCGCGGCGGCGGCGCCCGCGGCGGCTCGGGCTCCTGCGCGCGCTCGTTCTCGTCCATGCACAGCTGCTCGGGCTCGCCCATGCGCGGCAGCCGCTCGCACGCCATGCGCTCCGGCCACTGGAAGCCGTACTTCTGCATGAGGGGCGCGCAGCCGGCGCGCGCGCGCTCGCACACGCTGCGGCACGCGGGCAGCGGCTTGGCGTAGTCCTCGATGCAGATGGGCGTGTACACGGAGCACAGGAAGAACTTCAGGTCCGCGGAGCACTTGATCTCCACCAGCGGCCAGTACTGGTGCACCTGCAACGCGACCGCCGCAACGTTCGTCAGCCGCCCGCTAACGCGCTTTCTCGTCGTCGATATTCGGATATTCGACTGACTAACAGTCAATTGGTAAAGCGATCAAATGGAAATTAAATTTACACACTAGCCTGCGCAAATACAGCTCCAAAAGCTAACAAGTAAAAGTACGTATTATTTTCTTACGAGTTAATGTTAGGATAAAAGGTGAGGCCGCATTTGTTACCTTAAGTTCAGTTATGGCATCGTTACATTTATCTAGAACCCTTTTTAACTGATCTGACTTTGTTACATATTCTTTGTAAGTACTCAACTATCGTAATTAAGGTTTTGTATCAAGTATGGACTAGCTAAGGAGGAATATACAACTTTGCCTCATACAAAACCAAAGCCTATTAGCTGTCGATTTTTATGATGGTTCATGAGAGACAGTTACGACGTTTACCTCGAGGCCTGCCTCCTCTTGCGTGTCATGGTCAAGCGCGTTGGGGAACGAGGTCAGGTTGTAGCCGATGCCACGGCACATGGGTATGGTGATCTCCTCGCAGCGTGGCTGCTGCAACGCCGCGCAGCCCGCCACCACCACCACCAGCGCCGCTGCCACGCGCCACATCATAGCTTATTAGGCGAACCGCATCTGAGAAAACACAATACGCCATTAAAGTTAAAAGTCCGAATTACTTTATTCATTCTAGGCTTCGTATGAACATCAAGTTGTGATGAGTTCTTTTAAAACCGGTATTGTGTTTATTCACAATTATTTTTTTATAATTAATTAGGTTTTTGTATATTTGAATAATGAACGTTTTGAGCATAACTGTTGCCAACAGCCGGTCCCAAGGTACGTAAGTGTGACTCGAAAATAATTAACTTCTCAATGCTCTGTAATAAACTCGACAAATATAGGTTTTTTAATTAAAAATTTAAAATAATTTCTAAAAATTGATATTCGTTCCGTAAGTTCGTATTTATTGCAAACATTTTTGAACGTAATTTATTGAACGGGATTCTACCTATATCTAAATTGGAATATACGTATCTACTCGTACTTTATACGATGTAGTCGTAAAAATCACAAACAATAGTCAACAACGGGTAACGCTTTGCGTCAACATAATCCCTTCCGAGGTAGTCTCCCAATCTTTTGTTCCGATAGCTTATCAAAATCGATATCGGCATACCTTCGCGTTCATGATAAGCGATTAATTCATTTCTAAGTGCTTCGAAATAAAAGCGAGAATCGAGTTCCGTTTGATTTCGAGCAGCGGCGAGGGCGGCCCGAAGAACACTTTACGGAAGCCAATTCGATTAGTAATCGCTTTTGAAGTGTTATTTGTTCGAGACGGACTTTGTTGGTGTATAATCTGCAAAATTTTGTTTAAGTTTAAATTTATCCGCTACTTTCTTCGCTTTAACTTTTAAGTTTATCGTAATTTTGATGTTTGGTACATATTGTAATTAAATCTATTGGATAAAAAAATGTGACAAAGTGCGACAGAAGCCAGTAACGAGTGAACGCTCCGCAACATCGAACAAATTACTTTGAAACGCACGAACCAATGGCTTGGGCCGAACAAAGTTAAAAAGGGGAGTAAAAAGAGTCCTTCGGAGGTTCGTCGAACGGCGGACGGAATTAGTTTGGTCTAAGTTCAATAGTTGTATTTATTTCGGTCGAAACAACACAACGTAATTGTGGACGAGATTGGCTGCATTATGTGGGTACTGACGTGAGATAATGCTTAACGAGTTGAAGTCGCCACGCGTTATGTTCGTATAATCATTGAGACTGTTTAAGACATCTCATTTAAGAGATTACAAACGGAAGAAACAGTTTTACTCATTTTATAGATGAAGTCAAAAATTTAGAAAGAATCAGAGCTACTTCATCTCATTTCAAATTTGTAGAATACATGTCTTTATTATTTTATCTTCAGCAATCATTAATTTTCTTTTATCAGGGCTCCATACCCAAAGGGTAAAAACCGCGAACCTATTGCTAAGACTTCGCTGGCCGTCTGTCACCAGGCTGTATCTCATGAAGCGTGATTGTTAGACAGTTGAAATTTTTACAGATGATATATTTCTGAGACCGCTATAACAACAAATAATAAAAAACAGAATAAAAAAATATTTAAGTGGGGCTCCCATACAACGGACATGATTTTTTTGCCGTTTAGATAATGGTACAGAACCACTTGTCCCGTTTTTATTTTATATATACTTGAGCAAACTCTAGTCAAATCCTGGTGGCGGCACCAATGAAATTGTTAATTTTAATTTTAAGTGCCGACTTATCACGTACAAAAAACTTAAGAAGTGATTAGCTGACTTATCACGTGCCTAAACTTAAGTAAGGATTAGTACTGTTCAAGAAGGGATTGTATTGAAAACAATTCTTTGAAATGGTCATTTTGATCATTGAGAAGATCATTCATATCAATTCAAAGAGTTTAACCATCCTTTTGGCAACTTAAATATAATTTAAAAGCCATTCGACAGCTAATTAGTTAATTCCAACGATAAAAACGACGAAACCGTAAAAGTGGTGACAAAGTTAAATCGTGTTTAGCGAACATTTGTTACAGCCGTTGTATCGGTGCACTTTGGATACAGTTCAAGGAGTAAAATTTGGGTGTAAGAGACGACGTGTCTGCATTTGCTTAAGTTGCTCTGTGGGCCGGCGGCGCCGCGACACGTCCGATCGCCGGTTAATGCGCGTTTAACGACACGAGTTATCGACACGTGGCGGAAGGCGCGCTAACTCGGCGTCTCGCGGGCAACTTTTTCTTGGTGCAGCTTAGCGCCGATGTTTTAACGTGGCAATTTAGCGATGCATCCATTGGGGCTGGTATTAATTTAGTTCAATTCGTTAGTTGTCTATTTTTATAAGTTTCCATTAGTTAAATGGTAGAAAACATGTGGCAAATTAAGAATTTGTTCACCACAGTGCTTATTCACAACAGTGTTTATAATTAGCTGAATATTGTATTTGTATATTATACAAATGATATTTTCCTCCGCTTGGAAAAATTGCCTTTGCAATTTTAATTACAAACTATTATTTTTTTAGCTAAGTCTTATAGCGAAAGGATCGCAAGGGTCCTACTAACTTTGTACTAACACCAACAGTGAAAATTATTATTAAAATTTCATTATCTATTCTGACTGCTGTCTTTTCTGTACTGACCAATTTGTTTAAGTTTTTGTTGTACAACAACATGCAACGGTCTTTGTATGTTTTTCTGTTAACATTAACAGCCAGGTAAATCAGTCGGGTGTACTTTTGGCAATTACGAGGTCATTGGTTAGGGATCATAACGGCATAACATATTCGCTAATCAGTTTTCGTGTGAAGAAAGTCAAGGAACGGGTTCACTCACAACTTCTTTATACAAATATTGCTCATTCTCGATATACTATACTGTGGTATGGTCACGGAACAGTCTTCGCCGTGCAAGAATTGGCATTTTCGTCCAGGGAAGTACTACCACCTTGCCGAAGACTGGCGTGAAGTGGTCGTGCTATTCTTCTGCGATTCGTCTGGTTAGTGAGGTAACCATGGCCCACTTTATTAAAAGGGGGCAACGCATCTGAGAATATCACTTAACATCAGGTGTATCGCCAGCTCGCTTACCACCTTCTCGCATAAAATAAATAGAAATAAAGCATTTAATCTCGTTAAAATTGAACGCATCACTGTATCATAGAGGTGTGCAATGAAGCTAAGAGTATCATCATTATTATACGCAGCGGTCGCCGGTCGCGCCACATAATTATCTGGTGCGGTTAATTCGTCGATCCCATTCCCAATTGGCGCGAACCGATAAATAGCAATGGCGAAACAACGCACCGTTCCCGGTACTCCCTACGCATAGATGTGCAGCGATAGTTTGAGCGTTACAGTAAACCCATATGTTATACAGGGAGTCTTTTCTAAGTGTATCCATTTTTTTTATTAAATATTAGACATAAATAATGTTACACAAAAAATGATAAACATTTAAAATCGTAATTAATTAATTACATTCATTTGCGTGATTGTGCGTGATTTATGGGGAACTCATTTATTTTAAGCGCGATCATTCATAACTAACACGAATACAAGTTCGTTTCAAAAGTATACGACCCATTTATGAATGAAAAAGTTTGTTTTATTTCAATAAACGATTATACTACCGAGTTTGAACCTCCTGTGTGAATTTGGCCATCTTAAGAAAAGCCACCTTGTATGAGGTAGTTACCTTTTCTTTAATTTTTTAATCGTGGGAGGATATTGTATGAAGTCGGGAGCTTCATACAATATCCTCTATCTTGGGATATCTTATATGGGGATTTCAAAATATCATTAGTATTTTTATTATTGGCTATTGGATATTTTTGTCAACTCTGAAACAGAAGACATTCCATATGTCAACTTCCATTTTTACGATGCTTTGGCCCTAAAAAGTGATTGATTTATCACTGGGTGTTTTATTTTAATAAAGGTTTGTCTCAAAATCTAGTTTATATGACATCATAATATATCTTCTTATCCGATAAACAAAATTTATATAACAATTTGAGTCTGTATACTTAAATAATTTAATATCATAACATTTAACAAAGTAACAAAACAAGATGTTAAGAGTAAAACTAAGTGATTAAAGAAGAGAAAATAACGAGATTAAAATTATTTACATAAGTTACTCAATAACATAGTCAGCTCTGTTTATTGCGTCTACATTTGAAGTCTTGTAAATACGGTTATCAGAGGTATTTAAATGAAGCGACGTCTGCGAAACAAGGTGATAGTGGAATTAAAAAAAGATGTGAACGTCTTTATAACACTCTTAATCTCATTTTGAACTCTTTAGTGGATAAGGATGTGAAAATAATAGATTAGTCTGTACTTGGTTCATGAAAAAAAAAATTAAAACATATTTCTACGCGACTTGAATATATGCGTTGGGGTTAGGTTGTTATAGAGATTTAGTTTATTGATCTAAATGTTTTAGTACGATGACACGACTAGCTGGTATTCTCAGAAAATAAAATTTAAAAGGCCAATTAATTAGGGTGCTGTTCCTTGTATGATATCGGCTCGTAATCGTATGATATTTATAATGAGAGCAATAATAAACTTGATTGCGTAGTTCGAATCACGTCGAAAACGTTACAAACATTCAGAAAGAGTTCTCAGAAATTGTATAGATTTTATAATTCACTTTCAACAAATTAGACGAAGGTAATATCTAAATTGGACAACTATCAACGAAAGCGGTTTGTTAGGGATTCCCTTCCGAAATAATTAGCTACTGATTATTGAACATGCAATTTCGGTCTCATTATTGAGAAAAAAACGTTGACCGCTTGCACTGCGGCCGCGCCTCGACCCGAACATCGCCACCTTTATTCCGGTTCACTGGAAACGGTCGGGCGTCGGGTTCCTTACACCCTATTGCCGGAACGTGCCAGAGAGCCGTTACACTTCTCTTGGCTGTACAGAGGAACTTTCGCGGAATGCGCCCAGCATCAACGTGATGAATTCACGTAATATCATAGTGTCTTTTTCGAGTTAATTAATACAGACAAATAGAGTATATTACAGAGTATAGAAGATATAACACAGGTGGTCGAATAGGACTGTCTGACTTTCATTAGACTAAAAGTACGGAAATTAAAAGCTAAGAATTTGTTTGTGTATAAAGCAAATCAACAAGGTTTTCTAACATTAAATGCTATCAGAAGACTAGACTCTGGCCGTATCATTTTATTTTGTTAAATGTCCGGGCTCGTTGATGAGTAGAGAGCAACTATGTTATAAAACCTTGAAATATTCAGAAAATCAAAATGATTTCTATTCCTAAAGAAAACTTATTTCATAAAGGAATTTTCGATGTCTCCTCTTAATCAACGCCACGAACAAGTGTGATAAAATCCAAGGGCTGGGTGACGGTGTCGTTGTGCGGCAATTAATGTGCGTCCATTAGACTCGTAATTAGGCAAGCTGATTGGGGGGCTGCTCAGCCAGTGCAGCTTACTAAGCGGGATTGAATAATGGACACAATTGCCGTATTCCTACTGTGACTGCCATTGTAGCATTGTTCGTATCTCAGCAGAAGAAATCATCGATGCAAGTCAAAGCAACAGATAACGTTAAACATCAAAATCTGTATGATGTTTTATGTTTAATCGTATTATAATATTTTTAAATAATTATATTTAAAAATATTATAATACGATTGTACGATACGATAAAATTTAAATTGTATTTGAATATTATCCATTTTGACTATTGCTATGCCCTAACAGGGTCCATGATGATTTTTAATTTTAAGTTTTTACCACCTAAGTTACATTGTGGAATGCAAATAAAGAATAAAGAAGATAAGGCTGGGGCTTTATTTCTTAGTCCCTCATTATTTCGAGTTTATCTTTATTTAGTTAAATCGACCACGGGATCTCAAACTACTTTCAAGAGGCCTTATTCACACATTTTTGATTATTGGTTATGAATAAAATGTGTAGAGAATTTATTTGCTTGTCAGGTCAGGTTCTCGGTTTTAAAAAAGCTTGAGTCACACTATAAGCTCCGTAAATAAGCTGAGACACGGGACGCAACTGTGAGGGTGCCAGGAAGTTCACGCTGCTCTTAGTTCTAATTTCGTGCAGTTGCTGTATTGTACAACACTGTGCATTCAACACAATGCTGTGTATAAAAGCAATTACCGGGATAGAACATTCATTCGGAGCCATAATGAATGTTTGTAGTTCCGGTATACTCTATGATTTCTTTACACTGTACAGGTTCTTTTTGTTGAAAATAACTTAAGCTAGTCCACGGGATTATATAAATGATATGTGAGTACCAAATTTATAAGCTTAATTAACAGTGATTGCTAGAGATGCAATAAATCGTCGAAAGGGGATTTTCAATCAATGAAAGTCCTCCCACTGCTGTACTTTTAACAATTGCTCAAGTTCTAGTGCACAATTTTGACGGAGTATAAGATTTCTATTGTAACTGTCCTGTAAGGTTTACCACCATAAAAGTCGACAGCATACAACATACGTGGCCGAACAGCGGCAAGCACAGCGAGCGCATAGCGGCGTATGGAAATATTGACGAATGCGTGGTAAGCCGTGTCACCCGCGGCGTGTATTTGCGTTTCGCGAGGTTGACGCCCGATCGTTTGGCTCCCGGCCAACTGATTAAAAGCTTATAGGCTCCGAGTATGGTTTAAGCAAAGTGCGCCGAGCGATACCACAAAGATGCATTCATAAATAAGCAAAGAACAATCGCGATCATCAAATTTACAATACTTCCTAGTATTGTTTTTCACTTCGATTTCGTATACTTAAATTTATTTACGTTATATATAACATTTTAAACAGAAAGAATCCAATCATAATTTCCATACGACAAGCCAATGGGTATAGTGGCTAGTAACCCTGTCTCTTGCGTCTAAGGTGATGAGATCGATCCCCACTATTATTACTAAAATGTTGTGTAAATTTTTTTTCTATATTTTGTATTTATTTACATAACAAAAATATCTTTAAGTATTTTTATCATATTTAGTACCTACTCACAGTACAAGTTTTGCATACTTTAACGTCGTGTAAAAATATGTTCCGTAATATTATTATTATCTGAAGCGGGGATAACAAGTAACATTCTACTTAAATTGAGTTATAATTGCCACTTGTGCGCCGTATGTCAAACTTACTATTGAGAGCTTAGAGTGTACTACCCCTCCAGAGAGAACAAGCCTCACCGCAAATGAACTTCCTCGACCCGACCCTAGCTACAGGTTGTACTCTAGTCTCCACCGAGGAGTCGAAGTTGACACAAGCGGTATCGGGAACGGACAAGTCCGCGCCGCGCATGAATATTCAAAAGCGGGGGCGGCGGCGGCGAACTCAACCGCCCATTATTCAGGCGCGGCATTAGGACAATATTGAATCATTGACTCATTACCCTGTAACCCGAGTTCAGTACTCGATTCAAGTCGCTTGAATTCTTTAGAGGCTGATGATAGCACTCGGTCAAGAAGCGGGAGATAGTTCATGAATATTTTAAATTCTTGGATTGCTTATATAAATAAACGTAAGCGATTATTGTTGTTTTTTCAATACATTTCTCGTATATGTTTTAAATTATATTTTCAATAATTATACTGTTACTCTTAATGAGTAAATATTAGTCATTATATAATATCAATGGAAAAAAAGTTCTGGATAACGAAAGGTACATACGTACAATTATTGAATAAAAATCAAAAAGAAATAAGCTAGGTACGCAATCGATAGTTTTCGTGTATAAAATAACTTATGCTACCAAAGGCTAATGCTGCTACACCAACTACATATTGGTATCCTGTTTGCTTTCGTTAATATAATTGCGATGAAGGTGCGTCCACCGCTCATGACTTGGACCCCGCCCGCGCCTAGTTACCGCGCTAATGAGGAGTCCGTACAAACGTGTGGCGCGAGCAGAACGCGGCGTTTCACGACGCGCATTCGCTCCTTGCTCAGTGCTCATTGCTGAAAGCTAGTTTATACGAAACTGAAGGGCGAGATCGAAAGCAGTGCGTACCTATATCTGTCTACCCCCTGTTTGGTGTTGCAGTTCTTAAACAACATTTTAAATGTTCCCTTGATGGTGCCACTTTGTTACGCGGTTTAAGCACTTTGACTTAACATTAAAACATGTAGAAAAAGTACGAAAAGATTGTCGCCGCTGTGGGAATCGAACCCACGTCTTCGGCATTCGCGGCCTGACGCTCTAGCCACTGAGCTAACGTCACTTTGACTTAACGTCAGAAATGGTGACAGTATGCGTATTAATTTGAATTTTTTTTAGAAACCTATAGTTAAACCTATGTGGCGGGTAGTCGTTTTGTCCATAAGTCTGTATATTTTTTGGCAAAACCATTATGTTTTATATACACTATATATTAATGAGCTCGAAAAGCGACCAAAATAGCACGGCAAAAGACAAGAAAAGATCTTGTCTAAAAGTATACGCCAAGCACAACATACGCCAAGTAACGTTAACAATTTCCTTTCAATTACATCCCTATTTTATAGACCACTTTTATACTGGTTTCTGGTAAAAAACAGCCCCAATAGATCAAAATGTCGCAAAATGTAAATAATCCACTTTCCTGATACCTCCAATTTCTTCGCAAAATTCACTTTCATTACACAATTCCACTGTCCAAAGCTTCTCGGTTTTAATAACGGAATGAGATCTGAATAAGTGTTTTTACCTTAAGACGGTTCACAAAAGGTTGATGAGAAAGCTACGCGCACGATTTTTTTCTAACGAACACATTACAAGATTAAAATAAGATGTAACAAGAATTCTTATTGAGAACGGCGTGGATACAATTTATTTGTTTTTCCTTTTAAATTTCGATTTCGAAAGAAATGTGTATATTGAAATGACCTTCAAAATCACAAAGATAACAGAAAACACATTGCAATATTTTATCAGAAGCTAGGATTGCGTTAAAACTTTTTCACGGGCTTTATTATATCTTATCTTTGATCTTTAAAATGTTGTGTATTCCTACATGATGCATTATATAAAATATCGCAAAGATTAACTCCTGATCGAAAAACTTCAAAGCAAGGGTAATGGTGTGAAGTGGAAGTTATATATACTAGAGCCTTTCGTCTGGTGAGTGAGGTAACCGGGGCCCACTTTGGCAACGCATTTGTACTATTGGGATCACTTAACATCAGGTGAACCACCAGCTCGCTTGGATGGTGGTTGTTGAGGTGAACCACCAGCACCCATCTTCTTACATATAAAAAAAAACAATCCCAAATAGAGTGATAAACATAACTATCATTTATATCTGCTTATAAATAATAGTGAAAAATTCAGAGCATAAATCGTTTTGTTCGGCTAGTACTCTAATGATGTCATGCACCATGGGAGGTCACCTTAGGAAATGTTACCGCAAACAAATTAGATATGAATAACTAGCGAATGATTTATGATACGCCTAATGCCAATAAACCCGTGCCTAGCACTGAATTAACAAAGACAAGGTGTAATGTGAAAGTGCATTAGATATATATATATGAAGTAGTTTGACAATATTATAACTGGGGAACAGTAATTGCTTGAAAGAGATTAGCCTTTGAAAAATGATAAAGATATTGGAATAGCCGCCGAGGTTCAGGCTAGGCGCCTCGTGCGCCAGGCCACCTCAAGTCCGTCGGATCTGTAAAGGCCCCTAAGGCCAACAGTGGCTCATCCAGCCCAAAAAAAAAAAAAAATATTGGAATAGCAGTTTCAAATAATTCGTGGTGTAAATTATGATCAACTTTGGCCTGCACTTTTAAATCTCATTATCAGGCTATATGTCCAGAAATGTATAACTCAACAGCTACAAAGAAAAGATCCACCGTTATTTATACCGACTTAAAATATGCGCAGATATGGAATTTCTGTGTACCTGTTTTTCGCGTGCCATATTTTATGTTGGTTAAAAAATGTTTTTACACGAGGAGATTAGGGTTACCATATAATAGAATTTACTGATCAAATAACATGATTTATATCTTTTTAATATTAATTATTTGTAAAGCAGAGAGCAGATTTTATCTACGAGGTGAGTTATACACAATCCGATTCTCAGATGATGTTTACGGGTTGTATGAGGCAAAAACCACTGAGTGTCGTATCGTATTACGTATTGGCAGGGAACTCGGCAAATAAACCTCCTATGTATTTCTTTTCTATATATATATATATAACCCTTATTGAGGAATTGCTGACAAAGCGGGTGTAATAGGTGAGCAGTCCTTCATGGAGCTAATGTATTTATCAACTGCGTCTGCACAGGCTACACTTCACTACATAGTATAAAATCGTCCCGCTGTCTGTCTGTCCTTATGTATGCTTAGATCTTTAAAACTACGCAACGGATCTTGATGCGGTTTTTTTTTTTCTAGATTGATTCAAGGTTTATATGTATACGTGCGAAGCCGAGGCGGATCGCTAGTTTGTAATAAAGGACCATCCCGTTCGCAAGGTGACCATGGTCACCGTCGCATCCCATCGCGTGACCGCAGCGACCGCGCGGCGACGTCGCGCGCCTTAGCATTATTTACGACGACGCCTGGCGCATAGGTTACGACCAGTTACGACTCCAGCCGCAAGAGGACACCGTTCCGGGTTCTTTTTTAGTTTTCTAACGGACGCGACGCGTTACCGGTCCCAGGCATAGCATTCTAGGAGTCCGTATGACGTTATTGGATCGGTGACCACGACTTGACTTTGACTGTGTAATATTAACTGGTAAAAGCCTACACAAATTTTATTGGCACCTTAACAATAACTCGATTGTTTGGGTAAAATAAATCGAATGATCCCATATTGGACTAACAACTATAATATGTAGTCGAAATAATATGAACGCTTCAGATTAGTTTTGCGTTAGACAAGTCGTGAATCTTAAACAAGTAATTCAGGAAGTTTTATGGTCCGGATCGAGAACAAGTTTCCCTTGAACGTTTCCTAGCGGGTTGCAGAAAGGGCCCATTGTTCTATCTGGACTGTGAGTCAGCCATAGGCCATTCGCGTCCGATTGCGTTTGCATTGCTGTAGGTGCTAAGCCGTACTAACACATTATTTTAGTGAATGTATTATTTGAAGGATAACAACGAATTCTTTTACAAAACCCTTTACGCTTATGACGAACGTTAGTTTTCGTTTAATAGTCGTATTCTTATCTGGTTTATTTTCTTAGCGTTTTACTTTAACATCTCTAGTCTGATTAAGGGGCAGTCCTGTCGAATCGATATCTTAATTAATAATTACTGCAAACTTTCGTGCTTTTATCGCAAAGTAAAATTAAAAATACAGCCGTCAAACGAGTTCGAGATAAGAAAGTTGTTACGCAAGACATTTCAAATGACGAAGTCGGAGTTGGAGACGATCCCGGGCCTCAGAGTAATCACCTCCATTGGGTCAACGGTTTCTTGCTCCCGCCAATTTTCCGCATGGCGTATCAAACCAGAGCCTCGCGCGGTGCAAACGACGAGAGTACGGCGGGAAATATTCGCGCTATTTATGACATACTCCGAGGTATACAACACTAGTGACCCGCCCGGATTTCGCACGGGTACAATGTATTTTAAATATAAACCTTCCTCTTGAATCACTTTATCTAGAAAAAAAAAAACAGCATCAAGATCTGTTGCGTAGTTTTGTGAAGGTAATCTACCTGTATTTTGTATAGCACAATAAGTAATGGAAATCTATATTTTCCATTTTGATAATGATAAAATGATAACATAACATGATTTAATAGTTATTACTTTTCATGTACTGGGTACCAGTATGAGGCCATAAAAACTGCGACACGTTATTCAAATCACAACGAGAGTGGAACATTATTAAAACGCGAGCTTGTTTGATTTCATTGAGTTTCAAATAAAGTAAATTCGTTGCTAAATCAGGGTTTAGATTTGGCTTTGATAAAAACATTTTCTTTCCCGAGACGCGCCGTGTACGTTCTGTCGGTTTTGCAATTCACCCGGGCGGAGATGACCGTCCGGGATAACCGGGTTAGATCAGAGTCCCTCGGGCTCGGCCCCGGATTAAGATGTTTTACCTTTCGCCTATCTCCGGAAGGAATTACTTGTAATTCGTAAGTTAACTGCGAGGGGGCTTGTTCGCGAAGTTTCGACGCGAAATGAGTTTGTTGGATTTGACTTTGCGACGGTCGTCGGCTTCTATGAAAAGGTTTCGGGGACGTCTGATTGCGTTCGTGGCGATTGGGGCGTCGATCTACAATCTATTTTCGCACAAACATTCCGCCTTCATCTTCTAAGACTAACCGAATTGATGGTTAGGTTAACTATACTTTTAAAGGACAACTCGCATTTGCTGGCTTACCAAGCGTATTTTCTAGTTAGGGATAACGA